GAGGGACCTTAGAGCTCATCCCAGGACAGGGCAGGGAGACCTTGACTATCTTGCTCAAAATTCCATCCAACCTGGCCTTGAACACTTCCAGGGATGTAACAAAAACATCCCTCAGGCTCTGCTCTGCCCAGGCAGAGAAAACAAAAAAATCTGCCAGCAGAGAAGCAGCAGGGGAAAAAAAAAAAAAAAAAGAAAAAAAAGAATAATCCAAGCGCGACGCAGGAAATTTTCCGCAAAGAACAACATCTCGTTGTCCAATTAACATATTAATAATTAGGCAGGATGAGAACACGGAGTCCCAGGGCTGCCACGCTGGCTGTGGCTGTGGAGCTGAGCAGCAGCAGTTGCAGGGGTGCCTCTGAGCGTGACAGCCGGCGCCTTACAAGATGTAATTTCAGCGCTCCAGAGCTCGCCTCGTCGCGCATCTCTGACGGAACAAGCACGCTGGCTCCTCTCTGAAGGAAGGGAACAGCTGCTTTCTGCAGGGTTTTTGTGTGTTTGGTTTCTTTGGGGTGTTTGTTTTTGCTCCAGGCTGTTTGAGGAATGCTGGTAAAGGGAGCACGGATTGGGTTTTGTTTGCTGTAGGTAGGAGCAGGCAGGGGCTGTGGGAAGCGGCGGGGTTGTGCCTCTGGAGAAAATCACTTTGATGCCCCAGGATGGGAAAAATCTGCAGGCAGAAGGAATAAATGAAGTAGCAATAGGTGTCATTAATAAAAGTACAGCTCACTAAACTCCTCCTGCTCTCAGATCAAAAGCAAAATGGGTTTTCAGTGCAAGAGCCCCAAATCCAGCACTTCCAGAGAAGATCCCCTCGATGGGAAAAGGATTGGATTCCCCAGAGCTGGAAGTGCTGAGGGAAGGATGAATTAAGAAGGATGAATTACTTCCAAGGCTGCTTTTGGGTCACTGCACAGTGGCAGGGGAGCAGCCCTGCCTACACAGCCCCTGACAGATGTTGGGAACATCAGCCCAGCTTGGCCTCAAAGGTTGCTCTTGCCTTAAAGGAAAAGCATGTGGGAAGAAAATAAAAATGAAGGAAAATCCAGATTATGCAGGGATGCAATAATTGATGGATAATTATGATAAATCCTTGCTTCCACACCTGCTCATGGCAGAGGGACACCGGGCTCGTGGTGCCAAGTGACACACACAGCACTGAGCAGTCCTGTTAAAAAAATATATATATATTAAAAAACACATGGGAATTGTCTGTCTGGAAGACAAGAGCAGGTAATTTGCAGAGGCACAGCTCCTGGGCAAGGTGTGAAAAGAGGGGACACATTTGACTTGCACTGCTTCAGCTTTTCTGGGCACTCTGTAGATTAATTTACAGGTGGTGCTGAACTGCCAGAAGCACCTCCAGCTCACTTGTTTTTTCTCACAGGAAGACATAAGACATCTTTTTGTGGTTTTTTTTTTTTTTTTTTTTTTCCTTTTCCCAGAATTGTGGGTCAGATCAATCCTACTCTTTGCTTGAGACATTAATAAAAACAAACCCAAGTCAAATCCAGCCTGGCTGGGAGAAGATGAAGAACAAAAAGCAGCTGAAGGACAAGAATAGCTCCAGCTCCTTTGAATGCCATGAGAGCCTCACTCTACCCAACAATTTGCATATTTTCTCCATGCTAATTCATGCACACTCCTCTCCACTCCTTATTCCAGCCTCCCACTTGGTCCTGCTGCTTCTGTCTCTCCAGGAGAGCTCTGGTGGCACTCAGGCTGCTCAATCCTTTGTATAAAACACCCATTCACAGCTTCTCTTCTTGTTTGCCAAAACTCACCTAGACAGGGAGGGGATGCCCAGGATCTGGTCTCTAAATTTAATCGGTACCAAAGCTCCTTTTTTGGCCATTTTTATTTTTACCAGTCTGTTGTAAACACAGGGTTTAAGGAGATGGGGGAGGAACATCTCTTGGAGAGGCGACAGCAGCAGGAGCATCCCAACCAGAGCTGTGACAACTTGTGCAAAAGCTGTGGTCCCAATGTGACCCTGAGGGGCACAGGGAGTGGGACAGGGCAGGGCTGTGATCCTGGCCCCCTTTCCCAGCTCCCAGGAGGAACTGGGATGTGCTGGTCCCTGCTGGTGCAGCCCCAGGTCACAGCAGGGCTGGTGGAGCTGTGTTTGGTGAGAGCCTCTGGGCTCTGCTCTCTGCTCCACTCCTACAAATCATGCAGGATGGGCTTTTTTAGGGACAGCCAGTGCTCCAGCTGTTGGATCACAAAATTCTTCAGGCAGTAAAACACCTTAAGATGATCGAGTGCAACTGAAGCAAGCCAAGGGAATCCAAGATAAAAAGCAGGGAGTCACCAGTCACAGAGCAGCACAAGGGGCTGGGCTTCTTCCTGCAGAGCAGGGCTGAAAACCAAAGCAAAGAACAATTCCCATTTCCCAGGCAGACAGCAAATCCCACAGCAGCCCCTGTTTTACCCCTGGCAGCAGTGTGGGAAGCACATGGACACATCCTCGTGTCTGGGTCAGCTCAGGCAACTGCTGATGGTGGAGCTGTGTTTGGTGAGAGCCTCTGGGCTCTGCTCTCTGCTCCACTCCTACAAATCATGCAGGATGGGCTTTTTTAGGGACAGCCAGTGCTCCAGCTGTTGGATCACAAAATTCTTCAGGCAGTAAAACACCTTAAGATGATCGAGTGCAACAAGCCAAGGGAATCCAAGATAAAAAACAGGGAGTCACCAGTCACAGAGCAGCACAAGGGGCTGGGCTTCTTCCTGCAGAGCAGGGCTGAAAACCAAAGCAAAGAACAATTCCCATTTCCCAGGCAGACAGCAAATCCCACAGCAGCCCCTGTTTTACCCCTGGCAGCAGTGTGGGAAGCACATGGACACATCCTCGTGTCTGGGTCAGCTCAGGCAACTGCTGAACCTACAGCGTGGGGAAAACTCTGCAGCTTCACTGGCTTTCCTCACACAGCAGGGCAGAAATCCCAGCCCAGGGCAGAAATCCCAGCCCAGGGCACTTAGAATAAAACCCCACATGCAGGGCAAGGCAGAGCAGCAGCCCCAAGCCCTGCAGCCTTCCTTTCCCTGCTTTAAAAGCTGTGGAAATCCCACTGGGATCAGCTGCCCTTGGATAATTCCCACTCCCTGGGCTGGGTGCTGCTCTGCTCCCCCCTGGGTGCTGAGCTCGGTGCTTTTCACCCTCCCTTTGCTGCTTCCTGAGGTTTGTGCTCCTGGTCGTGCCCTTGTGGGATCCCTGAGGTGGAGAGGCAGATGCTGCTGGAATTTGGGATGAGCAGCCCCATCCTCACCCCATAACTGAGCAGGTTTGGGGGCTCACACTCTGTCTCAATAATCTGCTGCTCTTTCTGTGACTCTTCTAAAAATCCCCCTCAATATTTCACCTGCTGGAGTTACAGCTTTGGAGCTGGAGCACTAAATCCTGGACTTTGTTCTAGGAAAAGAGGTGAAAGATCTGCCAGGGCTCCTGTCTGGCAGTGCCAGAAACAGTCAGATCCCTCCTCAGATCTCTGGTTTTCCCTAATAGCAGATCAAAGTTTCCCTCAGCACTGAGGCATTTGCTGCAAATCACAACTGGTGAGATGGGCTGGGGTCACCCTGAAGCATGATCAAGGTAAAAGTGAAGTATTTCCAGCCGGGTTTAAGTAAATAAAGTTATTTTGCCTTCATTTCTTCCTGCAGCTGTGGTACCTCTGCATTTCTAGGGTCCATCTGGATGAAGATTTGGCCATAACATCCCAAGATTTCCCAAAACTACTCCTAGAAGTTAATGACAGTCTAAATGAGTAAAGATTAAACCATTTCAGGTCCTGGTTGGATGGGGTTTGGAGCTGGGTTGTGGAAGGTGTCCCTGCCCATGGAACTGGCTGATCTTCCACTTCCCTTCCAACCCACCCCAATCTGTGACTTTGGCTCCTTCTCTGGACACATTCCAGCAAAGAATGAAGATCATCAGAGATCTTCTGCGGCCAGAGAATGAAGGGCAGAAGCTTTTGGGACACAGAGCTTGGCTTGGTCACTGTAGAGCTGAGCTTGTGGCCCCTGACCCACCTGCAGTGCTCCAGATGTCACCTCCTGAAGGTCCAACACCTCCTGGAACTGCAGCACCAAGCAGGGTTTGTTTGAAGAAGATCCTGAGACCCAGAGTGACTCAGATCCAGTGGCAGCCACTCCCACGGAATCCCACAGTGAATTCCAGAGGATCCCGGAGTGAAACCTGCAGGAGAGGAGGAGAGGATGAGCAAAGTGTTCCCCATGGTGTTTCCCTCCACACAGCAGAGCCCTGGGGCCAAGAACGGGAATTTGGAGCTTGAAGAGCTCACCAAGGTGCTGAAAAAATGTTTTTTTTCCTGAATTTGTCTTGGGATGAGAAGATCAGCAAGAACAAATCTCCTCTGGTGAAGTTTCTGGTGCTGTGGAGAAGGTGAAGAGCTGCTGGCCACACAATCTTCTCCTTCACATCCCAGCCACCAAAACCCCGTTGGATTTTTGCACTGGAATTCCTCACTGAGAAAAAAACAAAAAACAACAAACCAAAACCAAAGAAAATATTCCAGGCCTTGAATTCCTCCCCATGATGGGTTTGGATTGTGTTTTGGAGTATTTCTTTACCTTGAAGCACTTCCACTGCTGCTCTGATGAACTCTCCGGGCTCCACAGGGCAGGGGGGTCCTGGGGAAATCCCGCTGCAATCAACTCCAAGAAGAGATTCAACATCACGGGGGTTTAGGTGGAAACAGTAAACTTGATTTATTGAAAAAAAAAATCTATTACATTTATTCCTTTATTACACAGGTTTAAAATATTTAAAAATAGCTCTTATGGGCATTACACTGAAATTTTATGACATGTTTATTGGACTTTGAAGAAATGTACAATACGGCATTTGACACTATATTTTAAAAAGGGCCTTGTGTACTAAAAGTTGGGGGTTTTTTTCCATAGGTTTTATTTTTCTTATCAACATTTGTTCAAGTCAATATATATTAAGGGGAGGAGGGAAATAAAATTACACAAAAAGAAAGGTCTGCAAATACAAGTAGTAATTTTATTGCAATATACCGTAGCTAAGTGGTCTGGGGGGGATTGGAACAGTTGGGAGCTCAGTACAATTACAACACTGTGGAATTCAACAGAGGAAATTTTTATTCTTTTTTCTTTTTTTTTTTTTTTTTCTTCTTCTTCAAGCAGAGAAATCAAAGGGAAAAAAAAAAAAAAAAAAGAAAAAAAAAAAAAAAAAGAAAAAAAAAAAAAAAAAAGCTCCCTTGGTGAGAAAATTGAGAACAGAATCCCATGACCTGGGCAGACACACAGGTGTGGACAAACATCAGAAAAATCAGGATATGGCTTTGCTGGGATGTGCAACCTTTCCTGCCCTTCCCGCTGTTGCCAAGGTGACTGAGAAGCTGAATTCCTTATTTATTATCCTAAATTCCTTTTCACTGCTCTGCTGCCCGGAGTCTGCAGTTTTTAGGGTAGCACCTTTTGGGTTTTTTTTAAAAATTCCCTTAAGTGGGAGAGAGCACAGGATGAAGAAGGGAGAGGGATGGACACGGCTCCTCCAGGCCCCAAAAAGCACCGCCGGCATCGCCGCTCCCTCCAGCACGGCTTTGCCTCCCTTCCTCGGATGCTGCTGCTCTCAATTTGGGCAGGAGGGGGGAAAAGACATCATATATAGGCTTTTTTCACAGTAAATGTGATGTCTTTTCCTTGGTGGTGAAAAATCCCCTTTGAGCTGTGAACGCTCCGGGCCGAGGAATAATAATAATAATAATAATTTATAAAAACCCCACCTTGCAATAGTTATTTTCCAGCTGAGAGACATGAAGAAGGAAAACGGGCAAGGAGGAAAAATAAATGGGAAAAGAAGAGGGTGTCAAGCACGTTGTGAGCCGTGGAAAGAATAAAAAAAAAAGTGGGAAGAGCAGGAAAATTGCAAATTCCCCGGATTGCTGGGCAGGCAGCACCCCCACGGCTTCAGGACACCCAACATCTACATAAATTCATAAATTAGCACCACAAACGTTCAGCCACTGAGGACAATCTGCTCTGCTTCCAACTGGGAAAAGACATGGATATCCTTGGGAAAACCAAATAAAATAATAATAATAATAAATTGTAAGGACATTTAATGTTTTTTTTTCTACATGGGCCCATCCAAGGAAGGAGAAGAGCAGGATTTGGACAGAAGAGATAAGAAGGTGCCATGCATTTATCAGCAGCCAAAAATCTGCCTGAAAGTGCCTAAAAAGCCAAGTGGGAGATTGGCCAGTGGCAGGGTATCCCCAGTGTTGTGTTAAAGTTATCAGATAGCACCACAGAGATATGTAAAAATAACTATAAAAAGCACCTTTTTTCTTCTTCTTCTTCTACCTTTTTTTTTTTTTTTAAATTTTTAAATTTTTTTTTTATTCTTGATATTCAGAGAGGACAAATGGATTTCCCCTGCCACTGGGATCTGCCACTGGGAATGGATTCAGGTTTAATTCTTATCATTTTAAAGGAATGCTGAAAGAAAAAAAGAAGGATTAATTTAAAATATGGGTGTTAAGCAAGTGGATGAAAAGTCAGAGACTCACAGCAGATCCTGCTTTTTAGATCAGGGGATTTGCAGGGAATTTGTTAAAAAGTGGCTTTAATTTCCTCATTTTGAAAGGAATCATTCCAAAAGGCACCTGTGGCTCAGGGGGCTGCTTTGCACCTGATCCTGGGGGAAATTCCAAGGCTCCAGATCCCAGTTTGGGGCTGGGAAGAGGCAGAAGTAGGGACAGGAGCTGCTGTCTTCATTCCCAGCTGGAAGCTTGGCTGGGATGGGGTGGCTTTAATACAGACAAGGTCACTTGCATGGTTTGAAGGCGGAAACATTCCAACATTTCAAATAAAATACGACACAAATATTTACTCACAAACATACAAAAATAGAAGCACCTTTAAGACACGGCAAAGAGATGCCCAGTGTGACCTTGAGTCAGCACTTTGGAAAACGTGGAATGAGGCAAACTCAGCGGAGGAAACACGGAAAATTCTGGAATTGGCCATGCTGGAGCTGATCCAAACCTCGTGGAAGGCAACAAAACCCCTCTGAGGAGCTTCAGATCCAGGACTGCCGGGACTTCAACATCAAGCTGGACATGAGGAACTTCAAGTTTTTTCCTTTTTTTTTTTTTTCTTCAGGAACAAACAAACGCTTCCTGGTGAGAAGAAGAGGAGGAGGAGGAGGAGGCAGGAGGAGTTTGCTGGAGGTGGGCTCAGCTCGGTGGCCGCAGGGCAGCAGGGACAGGGCCAGGTCTCCGTGTGTGGCTGCTGGTCATGAGATTCCATATCCATCCTGGGAATGGCTGGGGGGGCACAGAGGGGCCGGGGCAAAACCAGGGACACAACAAAATAGGTGGGGGAGAGGAAAAAAAAATAATAACCCATCGCTGTCCAGTTTCAGACCGTGCACGTGACGAGGAATTCTTTTTTTTCTCCTTTTTTTTCTCTTTTTTCTCTTTTTTTGTTTTTAATTAAATGGCGCAATGAGGTTACGAGGTTGCTCATTTGGAGACTAGGTTCAGGTGGCTCTTTTAGCCCAGGAAGCAAGCTGGTCCCACCTCGAATCCAAATTTCTGTGCCGCTTCTCCGAAGTCATTGAACATGATGTCGACTATGGGGACCTGCTCCACTTTGGGCGTGTTGATTTCCAGGATGGTTTTCTGGTAGCCCTTCCTTGCCTGGAATGAGGGAAAGAGGACCTCTGAGGATGCCTCCAAGCCAACATCAGCACAACTGAATAATCACCACTCTGCTGGCAATGTGGTGTTGATTTTTGCTGGGAATTTTTGGACCTAAATCGGAGTCACCACCACCCAAACAAATTTATTTGCATTTTTACCACATGTGCTGAAAAACCCTTGGGAGATGCCCAGACCTTGGAGCAGAAGCAGATCACAACACTCTAACTCTGCTCCAGCACATTCCCAGGCTGGAATGGGAGCCTGAAAAAGTTGGGGCTGTGCAAAGCTTGTTTTCCCTCCCCCAGGACATACCTGGCTTGTTGGGCAAATGGTAGCAATTTAATTCAAATATATTAATGAAAAGATCACATTTAAAGTTTGGTGGAATTCACAAGGTGCTGCTGTCTTTTTATCACGCCTGGTGGCCACGGAGTTCTTTCCAAAATATAAATAATTATTAGAGGAGCAGAAGCACCCCCTGAGGGCGTACAAAGCTGCACAAACAAGAGAATTTATGGAGCAGCTTTGGGCTCTACCTTTCCCTGTGATTTGTGTGGCTCAAGAGAACAGGCTGGAGCACAGCTATGAGAAAGGGCTGGAAGTTCAGGAAAAACATATTCAAATTACGGGAAGAATTTCAGCCCTTGAAGCCTCCCCACTACAGCAGGACCTCTGTGGTAACTCTGTGTGGGGCAGCCCAACCTCATCTCCACAGTGTAGGCCTCAGTCCTGGAATCATTTAGGGTGGAAAAGACCTTCAGGATCATCAAGTCCAACCATTAACCCAGCACAGCTGAGCCCAGCAATTGGATGGGTTGCAGCACTCACTCCCAAAAAAGACATAAAAGCACCTCTAAAGCGCTGGTGGAGTTCTCTAAATTCCTACTGGCCTTTTTATGGGTCTAAGAGTCAGACTAAAATCATCTTTAATGTAGAGAATCAATTGTAAACCCCAAACTCCTTTAAGTAAATAGATAAATCTCAAATATCCTGCCTGCGCTTTGAGCAGCACAATCTGCCAGGGCAGCAGATTATTCCAATTTATCTGCCCAAAAGGTAAATGTTTTCAGGAGCCTCATCCACTTTAAAATGTGCAACACCTGGTCCTCCAGCAAGCCTGAGATTCAGAAGGGGAAGGGAGGAGAAGTCCCTTTTTCCCAAGGATGTTATGTCAGCAGGAGACACGAAAAACTTGAGGATAAACTTCTCCTGAGTGTTTCCAGAAGGGGGCTGGATGCCCTTTCCCTCTCCAGGAACGTGTTAAAAGTTCTAATCTGATTTTCCTCATTGCTCCATCAGTAAAAAATCTGTGCCAGAACAGAAGCGTTTCAATCTCAAATTACATGAAGAGCTTTTTCTGTCAAACATCTCAATCTTTCTGTCCCGTGGGCTCCAAGTGCTGCAGTTCCAGAGGGTGGGAATTATGCATGTTTTTACACCAGCAAGCTGGGGCTCAAAATAAATGCAGACAGCACCTGCTTTGCCAAATTTTTATCTCCTGAGGGCAGAATTTTCAGAGTTTAAACCCAAATCAAGCATCCAAGAGGAGTTAGAAGAAAAGGGAGGACGTGAGGCACCTTTGGAAATTGTGGGTGTGCTTGTGCACCTCATGAGCAGCACAGCCCAGAGCCTTCCTGGGCCTGCAAGAACAAAAATTCCAACCAAACCCTTCCTGATTTGCCTCCAAGAATTCCTGAAAGTTACAGATATCCTTACCAAACCCTGCAAATTTCCAACCCAAATTTTCAGAATTTCTGAAAGCAGTTACAAAGATCCTTACCAAACCCTGAAAATTTCCAACCCAACTGGGCGCCATCACTCGCCTCTCCCCGTGTGAGGAATTGGATGAGAGCAAAAGCACAGGGAGGCTTTATAAAAAAAACAAGCAGCACTTTTAGGCGGATAAATTGGATTAATCAGATTAATTTGACTCCTGGAGGTGCTGCAGCTACCCCTGACTTCCAGCAGGATTCCCACGGAATCCTTTATTTCCACCTTAGGGAAGAGCACGCTGATGTCTCCCATATTAAGAACAACCCTGAAGCACCGGGAATTTGGGGGTGATCTGCTCTGGGGAAGATGGTGCTGGCCAAGCAGGGGAGGGGACAGAGGTGTCTCCACGGTGTCCCCAAGGCCGGGAGCCCCCACGTACCGCGCAGCCGTCAAGGGCAGCTCGGATGTAGGGGTTGTTGTCGTAGGACATCTCCTCGTCGTTGGAGCCCAGGAAGCGGATGGCCTTGTCGTAGCTGTTGGTGGTGGCATCGTGCCAGGCCACCGACTGGTAGCAGTTGTAGGTGATGTTCTGGTGGGCCGAGGCGCTCAGGAGACGCAGGAAGGTCATCTGCACCACCCCGATGGGGTTCCCGTCCGAGTCCACATAGGAGAGCTGGGAGAGGGGGACAAGGGACAACACTGGGCAGTGAGGGACAGGGAAACACAGCTGGGGGCTCTGAGGGACACCAGTGTCACCAGCAGAGACACTGCTGCTGAGGGACACCAGTGTCACCAACACAGGCACCGCTCCTGAGCTGGGGGCTCTGAGGGACACCAGTGTCACCACAGGCACTGCTCCTGAGGGACACCAGTGTCACCACAGATGCTGCTCCTGAGGGGCACCAGTGTCACCAACACAGACACTGCTGCTGAGCTGGGGGCTCTGAGGGACACCAGTGCCACCAACACAGACACTGCTCCTGAGGGACACCAGTGCCACCACAGACACTGCTCCTGAGGGACACCAGTGCCACCACAGACACTGCTCCTGAGGGACACCAGTGCCACCACAGAGAGCTGGGAGAGGGGGACAAGGGACAACACTGGGCAGTGAGGGACAGGGAAACACAGCTGGGGGCTCTGAGGGACACCAGTGTCACCAGCAGAGACACTGCTGCTGAGGGACACCAGTGTCACCAACACAGGCACCGCTCCTGAGCTGGGGGCTCTGAGGGACACCAGTGTCACCACAGGCACTGCTCCTGAGGGACACCAGTGCCACCACAGACACTGCTCCTGAGGGACACCACTGTCACCTGCTCTGCTCACCCAGGAACTTTTTGCTCTCCTGCTGGATGGGGTGAGGGTGTGAGCGAAAAAATTAAATCTAAGGAGGGCAGGGAGAAAAAAAAGAGAAGGGGATTTCAGCCCTGGTTGCAAGAGGGTGGGAATTTGGGGATATGTCTCAAGATTAAGCAAATATTGAGTGTATTTCTCCAGCTTTTGAAGAGGAGAGAAGGTGAATTTCTGTGAGAGTTCAGGGATTTATTTTCCTGTCCTGTCTGACACAAATTTCTGGCTGCTGGGTGTGTTTTGTTCTGCACAATCTGGGGTATCCTCCATTCGTTTTTTCTGGGGTTTGAAGCAATCTTGGCACTGCATCTGCAGCAATGTGCACCTGCTGGTGAGGATTGGGGCTGCCCTGATTGGAAAAGCCCAGCTCAGGTAAAGGGAAAATGGATTTGCTGCTCTGTTGTGAACACAGATTGTGAATCCCAGTCTTGCACAGTGGGATTTGCTCCATTCTGCCCACCAGGCTCCTTTTTCTCCCATGCAGGAGAATTTATTCCTACAAAAAAAAAAATTATTGAAACTCAATCCCAGTACTTGGGCGATTCAGGACTTTGTGGGACATTCATGGCCCACAAAATGAGTTTTTGCAGGTATGAACTGACTGTGCTTGAGGTGGCATCTCCAAACCACTGCCCTGGATGGACTGAGGGTTTCTTTAGAAACAACCAGGAACAAAACACAGGCACCCAACCAGCGTGGATCTCCTCCAGGTACCACCAACCCTCGAGTTGTGGTGCAGGCTGCAAACAGTAGAACAGATTCATAACCACAATAAAACACCGAATTAAAAGAGATAATCCAAATAAACAAAGATACCAACCGGTTGTCAGGATGCTGCTGCACTGTCCTCCTGAGAGTTAAATGTGACTGACCAGGAGAGAGCCACGCATGCCAGGAGGAGCTACCAGAAAGCCACCAGCACGTGGAAGGAAGGGGACAAAAAATGCCAAGGACTTGTCACACACCCAGTGTGGCACTACTGACCTGCAGGAGTGACTCTTATTTGGTTTTATATCAAACCAGTGCTTGCCTTGCAGCCTGGCTGCCTTTTAAGGGGTCTTTTGTTCAGCCTGTGCAGATTTTGTGAAGCCCTTTCCAGCTGGAGCCACTGGGAGCTGGTTTTGTGCACAGCGTTTGCTCAGTTTGGGAAAATCCTCCAATCTTTTCCTCTTTTCTCTGTGCTGGCAGGTGTCATGTGGCTGGGAGGATGATTGGGATGGGATGGGATGGGATGGGATGGGATGGGATGGGATGGGATGGGATGGGTGCAGGCCTCGTTAGAGCTGCTGGGAATTGTGTGTAACACACAGAGAAAACATCTGCAAGCCTCTTATCCCTCTAAACACAGCTCTGCATCCGGAGGAATAGTAAGGAATTGGCTCTAAGGGCTCTGTAGAATTGATTAATGGTGTGGGAGCATCAAACCCAGCTGGTTTGGTTGTATTTCATATTTACTGCACCCCTCTTACTTCAGGTGTCTCCAGAAGAAAGGCAGCATCTGCCCAGCTGTGCAATCCCAGGATTTATATGGACCCCTTGGCAGCACTGAAAATCTTCCCCTCACCTCAAGACACCAGGTCCTTCTCCATGGAGTAACACGAGCAGAGTTACACCTGAGGGGAACTCAAACTCCTTTTGATTCTGCCCATCACACACAAATTTCAGCTGATTTTAGATCCAGCAGGCAAATGCCTCCTCAATTTACCAATCTCATGGTTCCAGGTACTGACTGAGGCAAAATCAGAGCTAATCTTAAATAAATAAATAAGTAAATAAATAAAACTTCTGTGGTCTGTGTGTTTGACTGTTTTGTGGTTTGCTTAGGTAGGTCTTCCACATACTGGTGGCTTTTTTATTTTTCCAAACAGAAAAAGCAGGACAGGTGAAAAAAAAAAAAAAGGCAGGAAAATGACAACACAAAAGGATGGACCAAAGAGCTCCAAGTAGCACCAGAAATGTTTTTATCTAAAAGAGAATAAGCCCTAAGCTCTACGCTGGCAACGGAGCCTCTAACAGAGCTGGGAAAAAAGAGAAGCAGGGGAGATGGAGAAGTGGAGGTACTTGGAACATTAACTGATGAAGTGCTCTGTAATTAAGCTATGAGTAGCTGCCCTCCAAGGAGCCACGAGGCTGAAGCCTTGGCTTTGCAGCCTGATTTGATGGTGCAGAGAAGCCCCAGAAGCCGTGTCCTCCTCGAGGGCAGGATCAGAGCAAAATGTGTTTTAGTGGCGATGGAATGCAGAAACTGGGAAACAACGCAGGGCTTGGGTTGTTTGCCCTTTAAGGTGGAAGTTGGGGCACTGCAGGAAGCCCCTGCCCTGGGGAGGGGACAACTCAGTGGGACACAGCAGAGCATCTCCTGTCCCTGGGCAGGTTGGTTTTATCCGTGGAATATTTGCCTGTTCTTGCATTCTCCTGGTTTGACTGAGCTCATTATGTGCATCCCATTAATTCTGCAGAGCCAGGGGACATTTCTGGGGCTTAAGACACAAATCTGACATCCCTGCCCAGCACTGGGTGTCTGTGGGAATGAGCTCCCCATAATGTGCATGTCCTGTTACCAGATAAGAAACCAGAGCTCTTGCTGGTTTATGCCTTGCTGCCAAGCCTTGTTTGACCTTAAAACAGCTCTTCCCCCATGAAAAAAATCCTTAATTGTGACTCAGTCAAATTCCTTTCCACTAGGCTTGGCTGGAAATCTTCCTTTAAATAAATTACTTTGATTCTCCCAAGCTCTGGGGTCAGCATGGGAGTCTCCAGAGTGGTTCATGTCCATATGGGGACAAAATCCACCCTCTGGGGCAAACCTGTCCTAGAGAAGCCACAGATGTGCAGCTGCTCCCCTGGGTCCCAGCACTGTGCCCAGCTCGGGGCTGGAGCAGCATTTTAGGGATCTCTCAGCTCTTGGGGTAAGGCTGCACTGCTGGGGGACAGCAACAAGGGGACAGCAACATGGGGACACCCAAAATGGGGACACCCAAAATGGGGAGTGAGGAGGAGACAGCGACAGCGCTCCCTGTGGGATGCAGCACTGCCTATGGGATGGAGTGTTCTCTGTGGGATGGAGCTCTCCCTGTGGGATGGAGCCCTCCCTGTGGGATGGAGTTTTCCCTGTGGGATGCAGCTCTCCATGTGGGATGGAGTGTTCCCTGTGGGATGGAGCTCTCCCTGTGGGATGCAGCACTGCCTGTGGGATGGAGTGTTCCCTGTGGGATGCAGCACTCTCTGTGGGATGCAGCACTCCCTGTGGGATGCAGCTCTCCCTGTGGGATGCAGCTCTCCCTGTGGGATGCAGCACTCCTGCAGGGCTCTGTGCAGACAAACCTGCCCCAGGGTCCCCAGGGTGTCCCCTTCTATCCCCAGGCAAAGCTCAGCTCCCCAGTTCCCAGTCAGGCAGACTGGAACAAAGCCCCCCGGTGGCTTTGGGGTCTCTCTCAGAATTCCACCTTAAACATCTCCATGTGCCTGGGAGGGGGGTTAGTCCAGCATGCAGAGGCAGCAGTGTGGCCATACCAAAGCGGGTGACAAGCTCTGATTCAGGGCCAGGGTTAGCCACTTACCAAGGACCCCCGCTTGTATTGACTATACCATGTGGAAGGCTGTTCTTTGGGCCAACGAGCCATTTTACTCTGTAAAATATGACAGGGGGTTAAAGGAAACAGCAAGCACCAGGATGCCTCTTACCAGTTTACCGCGCTTGAATTCACTGAACCACGAGCCTGGGTTTTCCTTGGGCCAGGAAGTAATTCTAGCCTAGTTTGTGGACAGCAAGGAGGGAAGAGAGAAAGAAAAAAAAATAAATCAAAATTAAAAAGTTTACTTTCATTCCAGAGTCTGCATGTCTTATTGAAACTGTCCAACTTGCTTTAAAATGGTTTTTTAAAAAATTTTTATACATCAGTAATGAGAGCAGAAGGTGGCTCTGAAGCAGAGGAGATGGAGTGGTGCTGCTCTGGCACCAGCCTCCTTTGCTAGGGGCTGTCTCTGCCTCCTAGGAACTTGGGATACAAATCCAGCAGTGGCAGGAAAATTAAAAGGAAAGACAGAGAGGGAGAAAGGAAGCATGGATGGGAAAGGTGCATTGATCTTCGTGTGGAGGGCAGTGCTGGTGCTGGAGAAGCCTGGTGCCTCTCTCATGCCAAATCCAGGTGCTGTGGGGCTGGGAAAGGCAAAGGATGTGATGAAGGAAAAGCCTCTGCCTCCCGAGGTGCTGGACACACAGGATGGAGCTCCAGGTACCCAGAGTGACACAGGGATGTCCTGGACAAGGAATCAACCATCGGAGCATCCTTGAGGCAGCTCAGCTCAGCAGCTGAGTCAGAGCACAAGGAAGGAGTGTGGCTGCTCCCTCAGCCTCCCACAATGCCCTCATTTGTGCTGGAAATCTCTCCTGAAGCAGCAGCCCAGCTGCAGGTGGCTGGGGACTGTCCTGCCCTTCGCAGGATGTCACCTGCAGAGCAAATCCAGTGTTTGTGCTCGGGGAGGGATGAGCTGAGAGGAACCATGGCTGAAACTCTGCTGTGGCTCGTCACAAACCTACCCACCCACCAGCCAGGGCTCTTTGCATCCCTCTGGGTGGGAGAAGTTTTTTCTTATGGATCCCAGCATGAAATTGGTATTTGAGGAGTTCTGCAACTCCACAGAACTCCTCACTGAACCAGCACAGCAGGAGCTCAGGCCCCTGCAAGATCATAGCCAGACTCTGCTTTTTGAGCTGTCAAATTTTGAGGAAAAACACAGCTCACTGATGCAAAGGAAGAGGAAATCCATCTCCTCTTTAAACAGCCCCAAGAAAAACTCAGGGAGGATTTATGTGGCGTGTGGTTTGTGCTGTGCTGACACACATTTCTGGTGGATGAAATGCAGCAGGAGAGCAGCTCAGCTTTGTCACAGCTGGAGCACAACTGTGACACTGGCACAGCTCCCCCCAGGCTGAATTGTTGTGTTTCTGCTTGGCCAGTGCCACAGCTGGTCCCCAGGCAGCGGGAAGAGCAGCTCTGGAAAACAGAGTGCAGGGATACAGGACAAAAATGATGGGTATGGCTGAGCTAAGAGCATCATTACACAAATAACTTCATCAACCTTGTGCAGCCGTGCCAGGGAGAGCTCTGAGGCTGCCTGCAATCATTTAGGATCATTTACCCACAAGGAACAGCAGGAAAAATGACAGGAGGTAAACATTTATCTGCCCTGCCTGGAGACACAGGGAGGGGAGGGGAGTCAGTGGTGCTTGGGCATGCAGGCAGTGCAGCAGGGCTGTGGGAGGGAATGAGTTAAACAGAGCTCCCAATTCCTGCACCAACACACACCTCTGCCTTGGACAGCAAAGTCCAAAAAATTAAGGTCTTAGCATTTATTATGCCCGGGAAACCATCAGAGGTTTGGCCCAAATCACAGTTTAAATCTGATTTTCTCTTTGTCAACATATTCCATGTTATTTCAGAAGGTAATGTTGTGTAACAAAGGAACATTCTGGAACTTTGATCCTTCCTTGCTGCTGTTCAATTGGCTGTCTATGAAGATTCACATCAGGAAACCATCTATCACCAGGACAGAGGGGAAAGCAAAGGTGGTGTGGACTTACTCCTTCAGATTTCTTATCAGGGAAGATGCAGGTCTCTCCACCAGCCGTGAAATTACAGTAAACTTTGAAAGAGTCCCTGGAACACCCCTGGTTGGGATCAACCCAGTATTCACCTGGATGAGGGGAGAGAAGGGAAGAAAGGATCAGCTCAGAGTCACTTCAGCAACCTCCTCACCTGGGATGTTTCACCTCTCATGGGTTGTTGTTTATGTGTAGTTTTTGAAAGCTGGTCATGTTCTGCTGCCAGCTGAAGAAGGTTTTTCATCCCATATCCCCATTTTTAGAGCAGGACATTTCAGCTGGAAGGGCTGTCCAGTGACATCCAGTCCAGCTCTACATATTCCTTCTCCACCAGCCACATCCCCCATGGACTCCCCAAATTCCTGCTCTTCCAACCCTTCCTTCTGCGTGAAGCTGCAAAACCCACAGAATTCCCTACATCCCCCCTATCCTGGGACACACCATCTGGGAAATCAGGGTGGCAGAGCTGCAGGTCCTTGCAGGTGCGTGCTGGGTTGTGCTGAGTGCCCAAGGGATGCTTCATCTGCTCGATTTCCAGTTTCAAGGAGTTCAGGGAGCCGAAAATCTCCTCCATGCCATCAGCATAGTCCATGTAGTTGTCAGCATTGCCATCGTCCAGCAGCTGGCTGGCATCAATGTTCCTCCTGGTCCTCTTGGCAGCCTGGATGGGCAGGGGCTGGATGACTTCTCCAGGAGGACCCTGATTTTTGGGGGGAGAAACAAAAGGCTCAACTTCTCATTCATTGGGAAAAGGACACGAGAGATGGACAAAGCAGCAACATCCCAAAATACACATTGGACATGGGAAACAGCCATGGATGGTGCTGATAAAACCTCTGCCTTCAACATTTTCCACCTTCCCTTGTTCCCATTAATAAATCCTCCCTTCCCATCCTGCTTTCTCCCCCAGTGTCTCCAAGAGATTCCAACCCATTGCTAGGATTGGAAAGGAATTTTTGTCCAGAGATTTTTTTGCTTCCCAAATTCCAGCACCCATGAAGTCTGAACCTCGTTTCATCCTTCACCTTATGGGTTCTACTTACAGGAGGTCCTGGGGGCCCAGGAAGACCTGATTCACCCTTTGGACCTGTGGGACCCTGGATGGAAAAACAAGGGAAAATCAGGAGTCACTCAGGAGAATTCACCTGGTACTTTTATCACATCCCAAACATTATTTTAACTGTGCTCATTTTTGTCCCTTCAGGCACACAAGAGGAGTCTCCCTGTACCCATATCCCAAGAAAATGGTATTTTTGGTTATTTTTGGTGTTTAGGTGAAAGAAAAGATCAAACACCTGGAGTTAACAGTCAGATTTTTCTTATGCTTCCTACGGAATGCATAAAATGCATAAAATCTTTAACTCTCCCAACCAACCCAACAGTTCTGCAAGTCAAATAAAATCTTCAAATTAATAAAACATCGAATTCTGGATGGCAAAAAGACACTAAGAAGTTGCCCAAAAGAGGAATTTTTAGCTGCCTGCACAGCAGCTCTGCACCACGAACCTCCAGAGTCTCATTTCTCACCGAGTTCTTCACTTTCCAACTTCCCACCTCCCGCTTTTCACGGGCTATTTTTAATCCCCTCCACTCTCCAGCAGCAGCTTTTCTCCTCAGGACTAAGCACTGGATTGCTCCTTAAGATCTCTGCTGCTCTGCTCTTCAGGGAAGTGCAGTTGTGGCACAGAAAGCTTCTCCAATTATCATTGCTGGGCTTAGGTAGAGTTTGCTAAGTCCTCTCTGCTAATTGCATTCATTTTACTGATGAGGGGAGTCCCAGCGTGTCCTACACTCAATAAAAACCCCTCAGCCTCTTCCTTTAGCTGTGTCCATACTCACTGATGAGCCTTTAGCACCTTTGGGACCAGGTGGACCCTGTGGAGAGACAAACACAGAAAGGAGTCAGCTCATTTCCAAGCAGAGAGTTCAGAAAGGGAATTTTTAAAAAATTTACTCCCTTTCTGTTTCCACTTTCCCCATCCACTTCAGCTGGGTGTTGCTTTTATTTGCCAACAGACAAAAAGCTTTTGTGGCAGATCTCCACACTCCTGCCCCAGTGGGGAGTGGGGAAGCTGCTGGGTGATCCCTGGAATGTGGGGCTGATCCCACTCCCTGCTCAGGACACCCAGCTGGGCACCCCAGGGTAGCACAGGGCCTTTGGGCATCTAAAAAAGTGATAAAAATCAGCAAAAAAGGGCAAGAAATCCCCGTGGGATTGTGGATATTCCAAAAGAAAGGGGGAGGGAAACAAGGTGGGACGATTTCCCTGTGCCCATCTCCCACATCTTCAACCCATCTCCCACATCATCTCCAGCACTCCTGGAACTCATCCAAGGGTTTTTTAAGGGCTCAGCTGAAAAAAAAACCCATTGTGACCAACATCCTGCTACAGCCAGGGCTGTGCTGGGCATTCCTGGGAGCACCAAAGTGGCTCCTGAGGGCTCCCAAGGAATTCCAAGGTCATTGGTTGTCACCTACCGGTAATCCTGGTGGCCCTGGAGGTCCAATGGGTCCAGAGGGACCTGTGATACCCTAAAAGACAACAGGAAAATAACACTGATCAGCAATTCTGGCCTAAAATTACACATCCAACCCCTGCTCCCAGGTGAGCACCCAGTTTTGGGGGATTCCAGTCCAATCTGGAGCTTTACCTGGTTTTTAGAGCATGGACAAGGAATGTCCTATCTCATTTTTTAAAAACACTTTTAAAAATCAGCCCTTCAGATGAATATTTAATGGCACCATCCCTCCAAGTCTATTCAACTCTTTCATAGGACCCTTGAGAATCTGCTTCCCACTAAAATGGATCATTTTGGAGGAAATCCATGTTTCACACATAGAATAAACCACATTAATACAGAAAATATCCCTCAAAAACTGCCAAGGATCTCCTGCCAGGGTTGCCCATCTCTGCTATGCTGCACCTCCTTGAGGGTGCAATGCTCCAAAGCACGTTCCAGGAAGGTTTAGGGAATATTTACCTGCTCTCCTTTGGGTCCTGCTGAGCCCTGGGGCCCTGGGAGGCCTCTGTCACCCTTTTCTCCCTGCTCTCCTGGTGGTCCAATAAGACCAATTAAACCTGGGTGACCCTGGGGGAAAAGAGCAGATGTTAATTAGGATTTCTGACTGCAGAGAGCAAAGACATTTCCAGATCCAACCCCAAATATCTGAGTGAGGTGACAGGAATTTGCAGCAATCCCTGACACGTGGAAGTGGCAGAGTGGACAAAATTATTAGATTTTTACAGGAGAAAATGCTACAAATGGAGAAAGAACCTCTGCAATAGAGCAACTGCTCATTCCCTGGGGTTATATAAATATATATATATGACAGAAATGTTTATAGGGTAGAGAATCACCCCAAAAATGAGCCAGGGCTCTGCACCTCCACACTCCCCCACAGCTGAGCCCCTTGGGGCACACTCAGAGTGCTCCAGCTCTCCTCTGAAGCTGTCACTGGGGCTGGTGCCACTCCCCAGCCTTGTCCTGCCAGCTGCAGAACCCCTGTGCAGTGCCATTGGTGCCCCCACACCCCACCAGGGATCAGGCAATGGGATCCTGAGTGGATTCTCACCTTCTCCCCTTTAGGACCGGAGTCTCCTTTCAGACCAGGCAAACCCGGAGGGCCCTTTGGGACACAGAGGGAAACAAAAGAGGGAATGAATTCATGTCACACTCATTTATCCAGCTCAAAAACTCCTGGAATTGCATGCTCAGGACATACCATTGGGCCTGGAGGACCATCTGGGCCAGGGGATCCTGGGAGACCTTGTTCACCCTGTAAAAAAAGTGCAATTCCCTCATTCCCAGTGACAGCAGTGCTCCCAGCTGGGAATATTCTGATTATTCACCTGTGCCAGGGAACCTTTGTCCTGGCTTTTCGCAGGTGGCAAAAGCAAAAGGATTTATGTTCCTTCCATGCTCAAATCTCTGCTGGAAAAGGGACTTTGTGGATCAAGGAAAATCACTGCTGGAGAGTGGCTGAAGACCCAAGACTCAAATGAAACATGTGGGAGATGATATTCACCATCCCATTATTCCCATGAAATAAGTTTTATCTGCTGTCAGGCATTCCAGCACGGACAGAACACTGGGAAAAGGCATCTTCCAGGCAGCTGGGATACAGGAACAAAGCTGAGCTTTCTCAGGCTGGGAATACTCACAACTGGACCAGGAATCCCACGAAGGCCATCGGGGCCAGGCTTCCCTGGAGCACCTTGGGGACCAATGGGTCCAGTCTTCCCAGGAGGTCCTTCCAAGCCAGCTTCCCCCTGGACGAAGAAGCAGGGTGTTGAATTTGGGTTGGGACATCAGAGGATTTTGTGAGATGGTGCCAGGATGTCATGGAGTGGATGCAGATCCATGCAAAGCACGTGAAACTTTCTGCTCCTTGATTTTCCTGCTGCTCCCTCCACCTCCAAACTCTCCAGACTCCTTCAGTTTCCAGCCTTGCCTGAATTCCAGCAGGAACCACCCTTTGGCTCTGAGCTCTCCTGGGTTCAGGGACACCACTCCATCCACCCATCCGCCCTCCCCTGTGCTGCCACAACGGGATCTGTAATTTCCAATCCCATCTCCATTTCCCCAAACAATCCCAGCCCATGAATGCTGTGTTTGCCCTGGGAAAGGACATGGGGCTCTGCACACCCCATTATTTACAACACATCACACTGCCAAATATAGCACTTGGATGTTTCAAACGAGGCAAAACATTCCCCTGACCTTACCAAGCCCTAATTATCTCCACAGAGCTTGTTAAGGGCTGAAACATAAGCTCAGATTTGAGGCCAGTGGCCCCAAATCCAGGCTAATTTGTTGTAACACGCAGCAAAATCAACTCCCTGCCTTGGCAGAGGGAGATCCTCTTGGACTATCAAGGACACAGCACAAGTGAAATCCCATTCAGCTCTCACCTTGGCTCCTTTCTCTCCTTGCCTTCCTTCAGGACCAGCTGGACCAGGAGGGCCCTAAAGAAAGCCCAGAGTAGATGGAAAACACAGTTAGATCCTGCTGATCTGCAACGGTCTGTTGGAATTAGCAAAATGATGCTGCAGCCCCAGGGAAGGAGACAAAATGGAGACAAATATCCCTGAAAAGATTTTTAAATTAGCTCCTTGCTAAATGAATCCCTGGGTTCTGCCAGCAAGGCAGGAAGAGCAGGAGCACCTCATCCTTGGGTTTTCTTTGGGCTGTTAACATCTTTAAAAAAAATCCATGGGATTTGCTTGGCAGCTTCCCATCAATTTCTAACGGGTGTGGATGGTGCATCATTTTATTTTTTTAATTATCAAATATTTTATACAGTATTTACACAGCATTTATTGGAGGCTTAGTAACACCATGACTTTTAAAAAGTTAATGGAAGTGCTTTTGCAAAAATCTTCCTAAAAAAACAACTCACCCGTTTTCCAGGGGGTCCAGAGGGGCCTGGCTCTCCTGTGGGCCCAGGGGAACCCTGCAGGGAGAGAGGGGAGGGGAACAAATCATGAGTGCCCCATCCATGGATGGAGGGATCCATGGATGGATGGATGGATGGATGGATGGAAGATGGATGGAGGATGGATGATGGATGGATGGAGGATGGATGATGGATGGATGGATGGATGGATGGATGGATGGAGGATGACACAGGAGGGAAGGAGATCCTCATTGGGCAATTCCCACTGGGAAATTCTGGTAGGAATGAGAGGCTCAGTGCTCCTGGAGCTGACACAGAGGCATGGGCACTGTGGGGAACAGCTCTCATCTCTCCAGGTACTCACAGTCTGTCCAGGTTCACCATCATCACCTTTGTCACCAGGGGGACCATCTTGACCCTAAAAAGGAAGGCAAAAGGAACAAGGAGGTGTTTTTAGGGTGTGAATGAGCAGAGGAAATGCCAGGGGAGCTGCTGGGAATGAGGAGCACAGTTGAGTTTCATCACCCCAGGAGCAGGTGAGACCAAAACTTACAGCTGGGCCAGGCTCTCCGGGAGGACCAGGGTCACCAGGGAAACCAACTGGACCCTGCAAAGAGAGAAGAATATTCCCAAGTGAGGGATGTTGCACCTGGAGAGCACCAGTGACAACATGGGGAGCCACCCTGTGCAGTAAACCCCAATTTCTACAACCACAACCCCTCTTTGCAGCTGCAGTGTTTTCACCCTGTCCCAGCTAGTCCAGATCTGCATCCTGACTGCCAGAGCTCCAAAGGCAACGCTGGGACTTCCATCCCAGCTTTTCAAAAATCCTCTGGCTGGGTGACAGCAGAGTCCTCCCAGCTTTGGGAACGTGCAGATTGGAAGGTTTTGCTTTTGCAAATGTGTGACATTTTGCACAGGAGGAGCCTCTCAGAGCATTTAATGACTGAAACACTTCAGCATTCTTCCCCATACAATGTCTGTCGGGTGCTTCACATGATTCCAGGAGCAGCCTGCAACCCATCACAGATATCCCAAATCCCATCTGTTAGGAGGGATGACTAAACTCCCCTGCCTCCTCTGCTTCTTTGTGCCATCTTGCCTTACCTCATCACAAATTTCAGGCATCAGAGGAGCCTGCAAGATAAACCCTGTGCCATTGTCCCCTGGTAAAATCAGCAGAGCTCCACTGGCTTCAGCAGAGCTGTAGAAATTATCAGCAGCAGGGAGCTGGGTGTGCAGGTACAGCTCCCAAACCCAATAAATCTCCTTGATCCTATTTTGGAAGCTCTGCTCTGGTGCAGAAGACCTTGGAAAGCCATAAACACAAAGTGACCCTACTGCAGCTCCTCTCCATGGGGTGAGATTCCTGATAGCCTGCAAAAAGCACTGATAATTCCAGTATTTCTGGGAAATACGGTACAGCAGGGTCTTTCCCTCATCAGCACCCTAAGGAAGGGGACTGAGATCATGGGTCACCAGAGGAGAAATTCCATGGTTAGGATACTAGTTTAAATTTCCACAGATATCTCTGGGAACATCTTTTCATGCAGAAATCTCTGCTGGCAAAGCAAGGAAAGACTGAGGGGGTACTTACAGGGCTGCCTTTGGGGCCATCATCACCTGGTGGGCCTTTGGGGCCAGGTGGACCAGCAGCACCAGAGGGACCTGCTTCTCCCTTTTCACCTCTTTCACCTTTAGGGCCCTGTAAAGGAAAAGTAACTTTATTATCAAGGCAAAAAACCCCAAACTGATCTCTAATTATCCTTTAATCAATTCTGAGCAAGAAGCTCTATTTGTGTCTCCAAACACAAGGACATGATTTAACAGTCCCTTCCCACAAGGACTGAGTGGTGTTCATGGTGTTCAGTCGTGGGTAGCCCAGATTTGGTGACTAAACGTGATCCTATAAATACCCAGGAACGTGGCAATGTGTCATCAATAGCCAAATCCAGGACAGGGCTGGTTCAGTCCCTGCTGTCCCATCCACATCCACACCTCTCCAGCACATCCATGCCTCTCCCAGGGGGCACTTACCGGCAGGCCAACCTCTCCAGGGAGACCAGGCTCACCAGATTCCCCAGGTTCACCCTACACATGGAAAAAAAGGGTGGAAATATTCACATTTCTGCAGGGGGATGAGTTTTCTGTTGGCACAGCAAAGCCACTGCATGAGTGCTGCAGCAAACTCCTGCTTCAGGCTCGTCCAGGTGCCTTACCTTCTCTCCTACTGCACCAGGGTTTCCTATTCCTCCAGGAGGACCCTGTGGACCATCTGCTCCTGGTGGCCCAGATGGACCTCTGGGTCCTGGTGGGCCTGGTGGACCCTGAGAGAAAAGGAGGACAAATTTCAGATGGGTTTCTCAGAGCAATGTCAGTGGTGAAATAAGAAATTTGGAAGCCCCTTACCATCTGCCCAACGTCACCCGTTTCTCCCTTTTCCCCAGGTGGTCCAGGCAGCCCCTGTGGAGGTGCAGAGGATGAATTTTAGCTGTGAACATCTCAGCTGTGAACATCTCAGGTGAGCCCCAGCTCTCACCACCCTAAACCCTCCCTGGATGCTGCAAATTACCTGCAAGCCCACAGGGCCGGGGGGACCAGGGAAACCTCGGGGTCCTTCGTCACCTTTCTGACCAAAGAGGCCTTGCTGTCCTCGGGGCCCGGGCTCTCCATCAGCTCCCTGCAAGGACAGGGTCTGATCAGCCCAGGACAGACCTGGGGACACACCAACCCCACCCCACCACCCCCTGCTCGGGTTGGGCAGCAGCAGTGTCAGGCAGGAATCATCCCAGTGCTTCCCAGGAGGCTTTTTGGGGAAAAAAAGCCAGCAGCAGTGCCAGGCAGGAATCATCCCAGTGCTTCCCAGGGGGCTTTTTGGGGAAAAAAAGGGATTTCTGCTAATAGGGGGCAATACTCACAGCTGGGCCAGGTTGACCAATTGGGCCTTGGGGACCAGTGGGGCCTGGGGGACCCTGTCGCAAAAAAAAATGTCAGTGTTAGGAGAGAGTGACAAATTCACCTGGAAAAGGTGAATTCCTTCAATACAAACTCCATTAAAACTGCATTAATTCCCAAAACAGAGATGGAGAACAGGGTGAGGTCTCCCAGCATTCAGCCCTAACTCCTGGGTAACTCATGTTCCTCAGGCTCTGGGCAGCACAAAAAGGGTGTGGAACTGCAATTACCACAGAATTACAGGATGGTCTGGGTTGGAAGGAACCTTTAAAAATCTCGTGGTCCATCTCTCTGTCATGAGCAGAGACATCTTCAACTAAATCAGAAAGGGAACTTCAGCCAAAGACCCAACTTTGGTGGCAACACTGCTCATGTTTCATAGATATTTCCATGCTAAGTGGGTGATGTGGAAATATCTCAGTGTTCCTGGGAGCTGGAGGCTCCCACTTGAGGCTCTCACTCTTTTTTTACATCATGTGGGTATTTGATGAAGCACAGAAGATGAATCAACATTAGAAAACGATATAAATTTAATTTCTATTTCCAGCAAGTCACACAATGAACCAGACTGAGGAGAAGCAGCTACAGCAGAGTCCCCTCCACTCACCTGCTCTCCCTTGTCACCTTTGCTGCCCTTCTGCCCAGGCTCCCCGATCTCACCCTGCCAGGAACAAAGGGACAACATTAATCCATCACCACTTCCACATCTCAGCACCCTGAGGGTCTGCATCCTCATCCCAAATCCCACAGGGACTGAATGGGTGAGCGGGCTGAAGAATTCCAGAGATTTGGACACTCCAGGTGCAACCAAACCCTTTTCCACCCTCCAATTCCTCGGCTGCCACGCCACGCATGAAGCTGCATCCTGCAGACCCTTTGAGCAGCCACCAGGGATTTGTCCCAGCTGATGTTTCCCGGGAATCCTCCACTCCAGAGGGGCTTAATGAGAGAGGGAATTAATTTGGAGAGGCTGGGCATCCGTGGGCAGGCACCTGCTGCAGGTTCGGGGGCGGCAACCTGGATTTAAGGGAATTTTGTGGCTGGAAGAGCACATGGAGCCCCATCTGCTGCTGCTCATCCCACGGGACTGTGAGTTCCACAAAAATCCTCCAGCAGCACATCCCACCCGAGTGTGGCATGCACCACGGTGGAAATGCTGCCCAGTTCCGTGCCAGAGTGACCCCAGGCAGCAGGAGCTGTCCCCACCTTGTCTCCATCCTCTCCAGGAGGTCCAACAGGACCTGCGGGGCCCGGCAGTCCCACGGGGCCCTGGATGCCATCCCTGCCAGCCGGTCCTTGGGGACCCTTCTCCCCCTGGAAGCAGAGAAACAGGCATGTCACACCCAGAGCTCTCCAAGCCAGCCATTACAGCCCATTAAGGTTTTATTCAGCTGCTAATGACTCCTGGCTGGATGGGCAGGAACAGCAAAGCCGCTTCCAGCTGATATTTCATCTGTGCTCCTTGTCTGAAAGGAGACAAAACTTGTCTTGAGGGATAATGAAAAGAACAAGCAAATGTAAGCAGTGAATACCCAGATCACAGCTGCAATTTCACCGCTACAGCAACATAATCTGATTTAATCTGAACCCTCTGCCATCTCTGCCTGGATGACAAACAAGACCCCAAGCAATTTTTACTCCCACGAGCCAGTTTTTGCTGATTCTGGTCCTGGCTGCCCCAGCTGCTCCCTCCCTTGCTGACCCCCAACTAAGGGGGGTTCTCAGGAGGCCCATCCTGAGATTCTGGACAAATAAAACCACCTGAAGTGAATAAAACACACTCTGTGTCAACATCTACTTGTACTCCTTTGAGCAGGAGTTTTCAATCACATTTGTTTGTTTACAGGAACTTAACAGTGAATATTTTCCAGTTTCCTCGTCCATGATTGAATTGCATCTGAATCCTGGGTGCTCTGCTCTAAATAAATTAGATGCCACATAAATTGCCTATTCATCCCTGCCCTGACTGACACATGGTTAGGTACTCAGCAGGACAGATGTTCCTAAAACTGATTCACCAGGAAATTCTCGCCTCTGGAATAGCTGCTGGAGTTTCTAACAAACCAGCAAGCGGCTGATAAACACTTCTGATATCAATAAACCACCACCAGAGCAGCCTGACACCAGCAAAGCCACCTCTGGCTCCTTCTGCTGATGGAGCTGGCTCAGTTCTCTGCCCACAGGCCTGGCAGGAGGGTGACACAGGAGGTGACACAGGCTGTGTCACCTTTTCAGCCCCCAGGCCTTCTCGTTGCCTGAGGACACATCATTCCCTGGGGTCACAGCCATGCTTGACAGGGGTGTCACTTGAGCCGCTGACATTGTGGTTTGATATGCTCAAGACGAGAAAATTCCTTTCTAATTGAACTTTATATCCTTATTTTTTACAATTTAAATCTCCACAAGCACTGGTTCGACGCTCAGCTCCCTACTGCACACATCTCCAGCTGTCCCACAACTGTTCATCCTTCATACTGGTACTTACTGGAGCTCCCTTTTCACCTGCAGGTCCTGGAGGTCCCTGAGGGCCAGGTCTCCCTGGCAATCCTATAGGGCCAGCTGATCCTGCAGGGCCACGCTCCCCAGGGGAGCCCTGTTGGGAGGAGGAGGAGGAGGAGGAAAGGAATTTAATTGCAGTATCAAGCTTCACCCATGCCCACACAGAGAGAAACCCAAGCTCTTCATCCATGTTTGTGCACGTTTGATGGGATAACTGCCACGGGAAGAGTTGGTACCACCAGCCTAAGGGCCCTGCACATGGGTTTTTTTGAACTGAAATCCCTGGAAGGGCTGGATTCTCCTCTGGATGGTGCAGAGAGCTCAGCTCCTGGGGACACATAAACAGCCTGGAACAAGAGCATGAGCCACTTCACAGCCAGCAGGGAGGGTTGGATGATGAATGTTTCCTTCCAGGGATCTCAAGTGGAGACAACTTCCAGAGGGAAAGCAGGTGGATTACAAACAAAATCCTGGATGTCCTGAACCCTTGCAGTTCCCTCAGCCTGTCACGTACATCCACAGCTGACCCCACAAATGACTGAGCTGTTACATGCAGGGCTTGTAAAATAAAGGAACATGCAGGGAGTCGTCAGGAAAATCAGGATAAAGCCTGGAGCTGTGACTAACCCGGGCCTGGCCCTGCCAATCTTGTAAATGGTGCTGCCTGCAAGGACAGGGATACTCACGGCTGGGCCTGGAGGGCCTGGGGGACCTTCGTTGCCTTTCAGCCCTGGAGAACCCTGGAGGAAGGAAAACAGTCATTTGGGGAGGTGGACAACTGGAGCAGCTGGGAATTGAACAACTGGAGCAGCTGGGAATTGAACAACTGGAGCAGCTGGGAATTCTCCAGCTGGAGAGGCCCAGCAGCCTCTACTCACAATGGGGCCGGGGAGGCCTCGTTCTCCAGGGAACCCTCTCAATCCAGGGGGACCATCCTTCCCTGGGAGGCCAGCAGGACCAGGATCCCCCTGCAAGGACAGGGAGAAAGAGATGAGGGTCTGCTCATTCCATGGAGGCCCAGCTCATCCCCTCAGCCTCCAGCTGGGGTGAGGCAGGAGCTTCGTTTCTTTTCTGAATCATCCTCTCCATGTCCAGGGAGGGACAGGCAGCGAGGAGGTGAATTCCAGTCCCTACCTTGGTGCCTTCTTTTCCAGTGAGGCCAGGAAGGCCTTGTTCACCTGGGGGACCTGGGGGGCCTGGATGGCCTCGCTCACCCATGGGTCCAGTCTCACCAGTTGGACCCTGGAAAAAACCAGTCAGAGAGAATGGGGTGGGTATTGGCAGAACAACTGAGGAAGGGAAAAGTGCAGGGTATCATTTTAGTCCTTTGGGCTGTGATGGGGTGGAAGAGGTGCCTTCAGTGCCACCAGCAATCCCTGGAGACATTCCCCCTCTCCATCTGTTCTGGAAGTGGCCAACATCACCCTCAGCAGACTGGAGGCACTGGGAACCTCTGGAGCGAGCCCAAATTTCACCCAAATGAGATGTTACCACTACAACTATTATGCTTAGCTTTTCCTTTTTAATTGAAAACTTCCTAAGCACTCTCCAACCCTGCTGATTCCTGCTCGGATGGGGCATAAATAATGCATGAGGCTCGTACTCCCTGGCAATTACCGGCTGCCTCCGTGCCCTCCGAGGGCACTCAGGGTGACAAGTGTCACAGAGGGCTCCCCAGGGGCTCGTTTTTAGGAGGACAAAAGCCACTTGCACAAAGCCACGGTGTCCCTACCCGTTGGTGGCTTTGGGGACAGGGCTGTAACTCATGTCCTGCTGCAGGGGGGCCACTTAGAGCTCACTCAGCAGCCACAGATCACAGCAACTACACCCAGCAGAGCCCCACCAAATTGCCACCGAGCCTAATTTGCACTTGAGAAGACAGCCACAGCCGTCAGGGGATTGCCCCTAATAAGGGAATTTACAAATCAGGGACTTTATGGTGTCATTAAAGAGGACAAATTAATTAGTTTCTAATTAAAGAGCTGCTCCCCAGCAGCTCAGGGAAGAAGGTTCGACCCAAAGCCAGTCCTGCTCAGTGCAGGCTCACTGCAAGTTGTGCTTGTGCTTGTCCCCACAGAGCTCGAGGTGACTGAAAGCAAAGCAGACCAGCTCTGACAGAACCTGGCAGCACTTCAGATGAAAGAGGGATGATTTTCCTCACAGTGACACGGAAGAGCACTCTGGCACCACGTTTGCTCTGCCCTGACCACCAGCAGCTGCACAGCCCTTGGAGATCTCATTTAACTCCCTGTCTGCTTCAGGTCTTTGAGCTGGGATGTGCTTTTCAGACGTTTTGTGCTTTTCAGCTGGGTTGTGCTTTTCAGCTGGGTTGTGCTTTTCAGCTGGGTTGTGTTTTCCAGCTGGGTTGTGTTTTCCAGCTGTTTTCTCACCCTACACTGGTTTTACACCAGGGTGGTTGTGCTGAGCTCACAGCAACCACCTCATTTAGTTGGTCTAAACCCCATCCCAGCCCCTCAGCAAGGTGGGCTGGGGTCATGGGGGCATTTCACACCTGCCTCAGGAATTTCAAAGCCACCTGCCAAGGCTTTGCCTTCCCTGGAAAAGGAGTCCCTTGCTGCGCAAGCAGCTCCAGTTGGACCAGTAAAGACCAGTTGCAGGGGTAAGAATTTCCTTCTTACCTGAGGCCCTACGACACCAGGGGGGCCTGGAGGGCCAGTCTTGCCTTGGAAACCCTGTTAGAGAAAGGGAAAAGACAAAGAGGTGACACTTCTGCCAAGGACTCCTCCTGTGAGGGTCACACTGCCACCAACTGTTCCTCCCCCAGTGGAACCCCTGACCAGGGTGGGCATCCGAAGGAAAGGCAAATAAAAAATCAAACAGAAAATGGGAAAAATGTCTTTGTGCATTACTAAAGGGTGAAACAGAGTAAGAAGAAGGGATTCTCAAAGCTCAGCCCTGCTGTTTGGATGGAGCTGCTGTTGTTTGGCCATATATACGTATATCTATAAAAATCTGTTCTGCTCATAAAACCATGGAGGAAATGGCAATTAAAAATTCCATTAATGGCCATTAAATGACTATTAAAATCAGTGTGAATGTCTTCATGCTGAGCAATTCTTTAAAGCAATTTCTCTTATCCTGCTCCCCATTCTGATGCTGGTTTAGGCTCGGTTCTGTCTCAGCTCAGCTCCCACAAGCTCAGGGGCAGCTTAACCCACGGGGGCTGAGTGAAGCTTTATCTCCTCCATCAACATTTGCTGAAAGGAACCACAGCCGTGTTTGTCTGCAAAGGCTGATGAGCAGGGAAGTCTCCCTGACAGCTCCTTCCAATGGCATTTTGAAGAGTGACAACGAGGAACTCTCACCACTGCAATTGTTTGGCTCTCCCAGGCTACTCCTTAAAAAGCACATTAATTATGGTTGTTACTCCAGCCTGCTGACAAGCTTGAGGAATGGCATTTAGGGCACACGGGCTATTCTCTCCTTGCCACAAAAGAGGATCAGATAAATCCCATGCCAACGCTAGCCTGTCATGCTTAAATAACTCCTCCATGCTGTTCTGGCTGCTTGCAGATCAGAAAATATCCTGTCACTGATGGGGAAATGGCAAAATATCCTTGGGTAATGAAGGTGCAATTTAAACTCTTATCACAGACAAATATTTAGACCATTTCTGTGCAGGACTTTCCTTATTAACCTGGAGAAAGGGCTTTCATTTTGTACTCTCTGAGCCTTGGGCACAGAGGCTTTAGAATCTGTCACGGTTTTTTTTAGAGCCAATCTTTGCAAATCTAATATGACCAAATATCTCAGCATGCCTGTTTGCTGCTGAATGGGAACTTCAATAAGGGGAAGTGTTTGACACAGAGATTTCAATCTTGCATACAGATACATTGCACTGACCAGGCTACTGATGTAGAAAGAGCATTTAATTCATTTTTATGCTGCTCTCCTTGCATTTTGGCAATGTGAGGGCAAAAGGGGACAAAAAGGGGATTTGTGCTGCCTGGGTCTGCAGGGGAAAGTGGTCTCTGCAAGGCTGATGGCACAGATTAACAGAGATTCTCTTTCCTGGGAGAGGCAAATTGAGGAAAGCAATTAGGGAGAGCTTTCAGACCCCAAAATAATTAAAAGACCATTCTCCATTCACTCCTGCAGACTTGGAGGTTGATGCTTTTGATTGCAGTCTCAGAAGCAGATGACAGCAGATGCTGTCCAAGTTCTCATTGCTCCCTCCACCTTGGATGTCATGGGGAACTCAAGGAAGACTCAATGTCAGTCAGGCTCTGGCAGGTGAAAACTCTTCACCTTTAAGGTAATCCTGACCTGAGGACTTGGCTCAAAAATACCTCAAACCCCTTGTTTTAAAATCAGTCTTATGGCGTGTAAATAAATATCTGGTGCTGGGCTGAGCAGTGTTTGCACTGCTTTGCTTAGCAAATACCAGGCAAGTTAATTAAATTGTGTGATAAGCTGAGGGGAAAAAATGCATCATGTGCAAAACCTTCTTAATGCTCATTTGCTGGGGAAGGCAGTGGGGAGAAATGGGCTGCTTCCCACAGAGACAGATCCTCAGGGAACCCAAACAATCCAGACTGGGGCTGCACCTCCCCAGCAGCACAGGAGGGTTTAGAGAACCCAAAATGAGGCTCTGGAGTGATGACCAGTCCAAGGTTTTTTGGCTACTTACAGTTTCTCCTCTCTGTCCAGGGTGCCCAGGCAATCCATCCTTCCCAGGAGGACCCTGTGGCAGAAAAGCAGGGGGAGAAGCAGCATCACCAAGTGCTTGGCAATAAAACTGTGACAAACATTGAATCACCCCTGCTTGCCTCAGCTCTCAGCTATTTCACAGGGAGCTGCAGACCCTAAAAGCTGCACCCCTTTCCTCCCACACATCTCCCAAAGGATTTGTCGTACAGGAGCTGCTCACCACACTCAGGAAATCACTCCCAAACCATTGCTGAGGTCCCCCCAGTGTACAACAACGGCAGGGACAGCAGTGCTGGGCTGTCCTCCACATCCACAGAGGGAAAATGAAGCACAGAACAGCCACAAAAGATCCCAGAGATCCTGAGTCAGTAGGAAATGAACATTTATAATCAGCTGCAATTTACTTGGCTATTTAAAATCTGAAACCATTGGGTTGTTATCAACATGTCTCAGTGATGTCTTTTCTTGGGAACTTGTCAGGGAATCAGCTCAGGCTGGGTGGGAAAGGCTGGATTACCCCTTTGGATGTCCTAGGAATTGAGTTACTTACAGGGGGGCCTTTTGGTCCAGGAAATCCAGTCGGTCCTTGAGGTCCTGGTGGTCCCTGGGATGAAAGACAAGCCAGAGAAGTTGGTTAAGGAACCTGCAACACTTGATATGAAATATTACCTCTGTGTGAGCAGCAGGTAAGCACAAAGGTCTGGAAAGCCAAATGCTGGGTGATTGTGTAGACAAAATTACAAACAGAACAAAACCTAGTGGGGGAAAAAAAACCCCTCAGAAATTGAGGCTAAAATCATGAAAGTCCCATTGTTTCAGGATTTCCCAACTGCCTGTGATCTGGAGAAAGCAGCAGGAGGTCCTAGAGAACCACATCCTCCAGAAAGTGCCTGGAATTCTGGCTGCCTGCAGCCACCCAGGGGTGGTGACTTGTCCCTTCTCCCACGAGTGATGCTTCCACAGGACACCCAGAGTCCCACCTGAGCCTTCCCTGGAGAGCTCAGACAGGACCTAGGGCCTGGAGGTGGCTTGGGGGACCTCTCTCCACACCAGCACCTTTCACCTTGGATTTCTAATCAGAATTTTCCTTTTTTTTTCCTTTTGCTGAGCTGCATCCTGGCTCCTGCCCACTCCTTTCTGCTAACAGGGCACCCAGGAGGATCCACCTTGGCAAAAACCCCTCAGCCCTGCAAGCCCACCTCCTCTGCCAGAGCACTGCACTGAGTCCTGCTTCCCCCCTCAGCTCATCTTACCCTTTCTCCAGGAGGACCAGGGGGGCCATCACCACCAGAGTTGCCCTTTTAGGAAGAAGGAAAACAAGAGAGCATTTTAAAAAAATACCCAAATCAGCATCACAGCTTCTGTGTGCAAAGGCTTCAGATGGCACCAAGCCCACGGTGACACCACACCCCAGCAACTCCCCCAGCCCTCTCTAATAATAATTCTGTGGCAGGAGCAGCAGCCAGTGACAAATGAGCAGCTGCTTGTTCCCCCCACATCCCCTCATAAAAATCCTGGGGACATTGGGATATTTTCATCACACAGTGGGCTCCCTCAGAGATGTAAATGCCACCCAGAAGAGGAGGGATTTATCCAAAATTCATGCCAACACAAAGCCCAGAGATTAGTTTGTAAATCTGGCAGTGTGATGGTGACAATGTGTCACAACAGAAGCTTTGTTTCCATCAAGCCTGGTGATCCACGCTCAGGTAATCAGACAGTTCATACGGGTTGGTTGGAGAAAAATCCCAAATTTTGCCTGGTGCCCAATCCTGGCTCAGCAGTGGGAAGGCAAAAATGGCTCAGTCAGGCTCTGGAGACCAACAGCACCACATGTCCTCACCCACAGCACAGCCTGAGGACTCTCAGGGGGTTTAAACTCTATTTAAACCCCAAAACTGAGGGGCTGGGGAGGTTTAGGGGCTGTGGGGTTGTGCTGGTGTTGGTGCTGTGCTGGTCTCCAGTCTGGATGTGCCCTCAAAGTCCTGCTGGCTCCAGGACCAGCACATTTACACAGCCTGGGCACCTTCTCTGTAGTGGTTTACGAGCTGGGAATGAACCCCAGGAGGGCTCAGCTTTCCCAATCCAGTGGAAAAGGAAAGGAGGGAGATGAACCAGCTGCTCTCCACACCAACACTGCCCAGAACACCACCCCAAAGGCTCCCCCAAGCCTTACCTTTGGGCCAGGTTTTCCAGTGCTTCCCCTGGGGCCTCTTTCCCCACGTGGACCCTTGAAAAGACACAAAAGGTGACATTTGAGGACTTTCTGCTGCCCCAAGCACCTGAACTACCTGGGGTCAACAAATCATCAAGCAAATCATCAAAGGTGACATTTGAGGACTTTCTGCTGCCCCAAGCACCTGAGCTATGTGAGGTCAACAAATCATCAAGGGGTGACAGGAAAGTCACCAGAAAGATTTAAACCACCTCCAGTGGTGACACCCAGCCCCAAATCTGTGTCCCCCTGGCTTAGCTGCAGCTGCTGAAGGTCAGATCCCCCCCAGTGAGGACACAAAGCCCATCCCAGTTTTCCTTTGGCCAGGACGAGGTTTTGAAAGGCACAAGGATGAAGAACTGGTTACCGTGGGACCACGCTGCCCCCTCGGACCTGGTTTGCCAGGAGTGCCCTGGAATGGAAAAGGAGAAGGGATTAGGAACCAGCAGCACAGCAGAGGAGCCCACAGCAGAGCCTGTCACACACACACTGCCTCAGAACCTCTCTGCTCCTCATCTGCCACGAAAAAGTCAGTGACAGGTTCACCTCCACCTCCTGATTCTTGTATTTATTTGAATTTGTAGCACTTGGGCAGGTCTGGACAGTGATCCCAATGCCCGGACAACATCTGCTGTCTGAGGGAATGAATCTCTTCAGGAGCAGCATCTGAAACTTTAAAACCCCTCAGTATCCCAAAAACTCAGCCAAAATCTCTTCAGCTCTGCCACCCAACACCTGTAATCCCATTTTCCCCCACTGATCCCTGCTCCTGAGTGGGGCAGGGTCCTCACCCCGCTGCTGCCAGGGGCTGCTGTGGGATTTGGAAGGTGTGACACAGATTCCTGCACCCAGGCCAATTAAGCTGCCCTACATATCTACAGATCTTCCCTAACTCAGAGCTAAACAAGGAATTCCAGGCTTTGTTTGGAGCAGCTCATGAGATGTGACAGCTGCACTCAGCTCCCTGGGATGGGGACTGGGATCAATCCTGCCATGGAAATCCTGCACCTAAACCTGGCAGCACATTAAACTGAGCCAAAAAGCAAAGGCATGGCCTAAAAGCCCAGTTTTGGCTGGTGTCAAGTGGCCAAAAAACCACTGAGAGGTTTGACTTTGCCCTGTGGCCCTGCAGCCTGTTAATGGCAGCAATCACCTCTAAAGAAAAGGAGAGGAAACCTCGATTCCCAGGGTGTTAAAAATATCCCTTTGCCATTTTCTGCCCCAAATCCATCACCTCGCTGGAGCCTGCTCAGCTCTGACACTCATTAACCAGCAGAACATAAAACAGGAGCTGCAAAACTTTCCCATCAACTTTCTTGCAGCTGCTAAAATTAGTCCTGCTGAATCTTCCTTGTTCTGCAGCTCCATTTATTAAAGCCTGCTGGCGTTTTTGGATTTTTTTTTTTTAATTAATGACAAAATTCACTTTAAAGTATTCCAGCTGGTTTTGTTGGAGCTCTGGGAGGCTAAATTGGGAGCAGGTGGGGAGGAGGGGTGCTGCCTCCCCTCAGGTAGCCCCCCACACTCCTCTGCTTCTCCCACAATTCTATTTTTAAGCCAAATTTCCCCCTTGCTTATTGCTGTCATTAGTCATGCATTCAGCCCCGTGTACAGTTGCAAAGAATTTATATTCCCTGTACATACACACAGACCTGTATTTGTCAAACAAGGATTTTTACATGAAGGCAGCTAAACTCAGATTATTTTCCAGGCACACCAAGAAATAGTTGGATCTGGGGAGCTCTGTCAAGCTGGGCAAGCAGGGAAAATTATTGCCCCCTGCTAAAGGCAGAAAGAAAATAGCTCTTAAAATAAGATTTATTATTTATGTTTAGCTATTGATTTCATGAGCAGGGCTTGAAAAGATGCTGAGCCCACCTCGAGCTGAGGAGGGGCTCCGTGATGAGCAGCTCTGGGGGGATTTAATGGGTCAGGATTCTCCAAAAGCATCAAACAGAGAATCAAAAGCTACTTTGGGCTGGAAGGGACCTTAAAGCTCAGCTCATTCCAAACATTCCCATGGGCAGGGACACCTTCCACCATTCCAGGCTGCTCCAAGCCCCATCCAAAGCCACTCCAGGCTCCTTTAAATAGCTTTATTCCACCTTTCCTGCAGGTTCCCTCCAAATTCTGCAAGTCCACAACCAGCTCACCCCAAAGCTTCTCTTCTCCAGGAATCCCAGTTCTCCCAGCCTTTTCAAAGCTCATCCCCTAATCATCTTCATCCTTTTTTCCCTCCCCATTTTTACCTTTCCAGCCCTTTTTTGTACAACTGAACAGCCACGAGCTGAACTTTTGTGTTTGGAGATGTTCAGCACCTCAGCACTAAAATTCAGCTGCCTGTGCAGATCCTGCCCTTCCACCTTTGATTTTCACCTTTTTTTGAATTATTTAACAACTTGGGGAGACTCTTTGTGCTGCTGAAACAACAAGCTGAAAAGCTGAGCTCCACTTTGGGAGAGAAATGTGGGATTTGCATGATTTTGGCCACACAAACCAGAGAACTGAAGAACAAAATGGGGATATTGTGATAAAGAAAAGACAAATGATTTGGGGTTTTTGCAGCTCCAAACTGAGTTGTTCCACTGTGAACTGGAGGGGAAAAAAAAAACCCTAGAAATTTTATTTCTTGACTCCATGTGAAGACATTCATAAACCAAACAAATTGAGTGGTCTTAAGAGAAGCAGAGGGGGATTTATCAAGTCTGACTCAACGAGGCTTAAATTAAGATGAGGACTGGAGCAGAGTGACCCCAGCTCAGCCTATAATTCTGTATATAATTGCTTTTCTCTTATTTCAAATGGGATACTTGGGAGGAAAAAAAAAATATAGATGGATAGCAAAGCTGTTACTGAAAATCAGCATTTCTGCTACTCTTAAATTTCCAGGCTGAGTTCTTGTTGATAATGGGAAGATTTGTCCATGAAAATCTCTCTCTACACTGATAAAGTGAATGCAGGGTGATTAATTTCATATAGAATGGTAGAAATGGTCTCATCACCCATTGAAAATCAAAAAGAAAAAATTAAAAATTGGAATTACCACGAAATAAATCAACGCTTGAAAGGTTAAAAAGCCCTTTTTTTAATTCTTGAAGTGAAGAAATGTGTGGCATGCCAAGGGTGTAACTAAATATCCTCACCACCTCCATTAAAGGCACAAAGCTCATTTGCAATAAAAGTGAGGAAAGTGCTGATTTTTTTGCCTTTTCTTCTGTTCTCATGGCTTGGTTCTGAAGCTGGGCCCTTTCCCATCAGATCTGCTCCCTTCCCAATCCCTTTCAGGCTGGATAATGCCGAAATTCCAGCCTAAACCCCCTCAGGGTTTGTTCCAGCCTCAGAAATGCCCAGCTCCTGGTACCTTCTCCACTCCCTGGAAGGTTTCCCATCCCCTCCCAGCTGGATTTGATTCCATCCCAGAACAGAATCATTCATGGATGTGCAGGGATTCAAAGCAGAACATCCTTCCCCTGCTGTTCTACACCCCTCAAAAATCCAGCCCAGGGGTTTTATTGCTGGATATTTGAGAGGGAGGGGGGTAATTCCAGGCTGAATTTCCTGGCCTCCCTCCTCCTGCCCTGCCAGAGCAGAGGGAGGGATGGGGATGAGCATTTGTAGCTCCAAATGAAATGAAATAATAAAAAAGGGGGGTGGATAGGACCCAAATTGCAGTGGTAGGACATTAATGCAGTGCAAAGTGATTTATATTTGCTGGGCTCCTCTCAAAGCTGCCTGTTAGAAGTCATTTCTATTTAAATGAGAGTAAAAAGGAAACTAATTCCACTTGCTGTCCTCACTCCCCCTTCTTGTCACTGTGACCGGAGCTGGTGCAGAAAATGACTTTGTTTGTACTCTGAATCCTTTAATTCGAGCATGTTCTGCAGCAGATAAAAAATAAATCAGTATATTTAGACAATCCCTACTCTGAGAGAAGGCTGTGGAGGTGGGGTGAGAGGCAGAGACAAGGCTGGGGGACGAAACCCCCTGATTTTCAGGGTGTCTCTGAATTTTGAGCAGCTTATTAAAAGCACTGAGTGTTCTCAGCCATGCATTTAGAATTTCAAGTTAGGTGAAAGATGGTTCTGGCTGCTTCTGAGCAGACTCAGCCATCTCTAATAATTACTGTTAATTAAAGAGCTCTTTGTGCCCTGAGCAAAGGATTCAGGTTCAGAGGAGCCTCTTAAAATATCCTGAGGGGAAAATTCCCAGCATTTAATTGGGAAGCTGCTGGCTGTGCCATCCCCAGCATCCTCCTGTCCTGCAGCAGGAACCTCATCCTGGGATGAGCCTTTTTGGGCGATTCCTGAGTGGAAAAGCCTCTGGAGCAGCAGCCCAGCAATGGAATGATCTCTGGAGAGAAAGGAATGAGCGGAGCAGTGGGAATCCAGCTCTTACCCGTGTGCCCTTCTCGCCGTTGGCTCCTGGGAATCCTGGGAAGCCGATGGAGCCCTTGGGGGAAGAGCAGAGAGGGAGGGAGAGGCTCAGGACAGCCCTGGGGCAGCTCTGGCCATCCCAGAGCTCCCAGCCCTTGTCCCCTGAACCTCCCCCCAATAACAGCAAAACCATCAAGCCCGGGGTGCCCTCTGAAATTCTATTTTCTCCAAAAACGACACCAAAACCAAATATCCATAGCTCATTAGCAGTCACTACAAAAAGCCAAACCTATGGTTGTGATGGGAGCCCAGGCAGGATTTTGGATTTTAGCTCCTAAGTCACTGTGGTGCACATGAAAATTTAACTCCTGGCTTGTTCCTTTCTGATGCCAGCGCCTGGAGAATTGCTGCTGCTGCTTTTAAAATATGGATTAGTCCAAGAAAATGCTAAAAAAACACCCCCCCCAACCTTACTCCAGATATAAAATGCAAATTAAAAATAAACCAGCCCCACCACAAGCAGGAAACAATCTCTTGCAGATAATTCTGTCTCCAGAATGAAACAAGCCTGGGTTGGTTTGGGTTTTTTTTAGGCAGTGAACATGAATAATAAAATACGATTCTTACAAAAAAAGTTAACAAAACCAGAAGTTCCCAAAGCCTCCAGGGCGTGTGAAAACTGGGCTGGAGCCTAAGTCTATGGAGTGGAATTCACAGTTTTAATTTAAAAAAATGCCTTGGAAATGGCCTGAACAGAGGTGGGCGTGGAGAGAAGCTACAAAGAATGTTTGCAAATATGCAAATGGCAGCTTTATTTTAATTTCAGGGAGACCCTGAGTCATTAACTATTCTCCTTAATTAATTAGATAATGTTATCTTGGAAGATAAAAACCCTAATCCAAGGAAAAGGACTGTAATGCCTTTTAGCAGCAGGAAAGCTCCCAGGAGCCATCTCTGCACATCCCAGCCCTTCTCCAGCTCTTCCCACCACTTTGGGACCCAAGCCATGCACAACCCCTGAATTCCACCAGCTCAGGGCTGGCAGCTATTTTTGTCCATCCCTATTTTTGTCCTGCGTGAGTGGGAAGGAGGGACCTCACCCCACAAATGGGGGCTGAGCTGCCTGGATCACCAGGAGCTGCTGGACTGTTCCCACAGGTCCCAGACTCTCACCCGGTCTCCTTTGATGCCCATGTCACCTTTGAAGCCAGGGAAACCATCTTCACCCTAAAAATTGAGAGGGGAAAAATCACCCGAGGTGCAGAGATAGGGAAAAAAAAAAAGAATTAAAGTTTAAGCTTCATTTGTTCAGGGAGGACAAGCTGAGGTCCACACATTGCCTTCTCCAAGTCCTTGGAGTGCACAAGCAGGAATGGAAACCCACCAAAACCCCAAAGAACTCATACAGTGTCCCCAGATGTGCCCTGCATCCCACCCTGGCTGCAAGCCAGCACCACAAACAAGCCCAATGTGAACAACAGGACCTTGGCAGCACTGGGAACCAATTATTTCTGAAGTAGAACTGGTTTTATTCTCATGAAATAGGTTTTGCACCTGCTCCCAGGCAGCCTCCAGGACACTGCAATATTTCCTTCAGCCAAGAAGGTTTAATTGCAGAGTAATCAATAATGCATCTCATCCTACAGCTCATCCCTGAGAGGCAGTGCAGACACTTCCCAGAAAGTTTTAAAATTTGGGAGATCCCAAGCTCAAACTGCTGATGAATTGCTGGGGAGGTGCAGGAATGAATGAAAGATGCTCAGTCCTCTTTTTTCCCCCAAGAAAAATCCCTTGTGCAGGAGAAAACCTCCCAGGGAATATCCTGTGGGATCCACCAAGAAAAAATGCTCAGAAATTGCAGAAACACAACCCAAACTGAACTCACCTTTTCTCCCTTGGTGCCTTTCAAGCCACGAACTCCATCTGCTCCCTTGAGAGAGAAACCAAGATGTTACCAGGGTAAAGTTTAGAGTGCAGAAATTAAAAATCACCATTAATTGTGGTGATTTCTACTTTCTTTGATATTTAATTGTATCTCTGCAAACTCCAGTCCGGGCTGGAGAATTCCAGTGACAGGGACACTGCTCCTGCCTCTCCTTACCTTGACTCCACGGGGTCCTGGATAACCAATGGGGCCCTGAGGACCTGGGGGACCCTGAGGGGACGAAATGCAAACAAGAAAAACACATCAAAAACCAACCCAGAGGCGCAGTGATGAGGAGAAGGTGTGGAAAAAACAAATTTCCTGCTTGCCACATGGGATAGGAATGGCAGGAGCCACCTGAAAACAGCCCCAAATAGCCCAAAATGACCCAAAATAGCTGCAGGAGCATCGCCTGCAGCAGGTGTGGTGGGCTGAGCTGATGGCAGAGTTCCATCCAACAGGAGAGGGAGGATGAGGAGGGTCAGGATAGAAACAACTTGATAGAAAGGGGATTTACACACAAGGTATGATTTGTGGTTTGGGTTGAGGAATACCAGGGAACAGGAACATGTTCTGTTCCACCCTGCTTCCAAAGCACCCTGGTGATGACCACAGAGAGGAGGCACCACCCCCAAACCCTTTTGATTTCTCCAGGAAATTGGAATTTTCAGCCTCCTGTGACAGCAGAGGGACAAACCCAGCTGTGGTTGTGTCCAGCAGCACTCCTGGATGTCCACTCAGCTGGGCTGAGCTCTGAGCAGAGACTTTTGACAAGGGCAGCGTTGTCTGGGAGCCTGGGCTGCAGCAGGAATGCAGCTGGCAAATCTCCTGGACAGACGGACCAGTGCATAATTCAAGGGCTTTGGCCTCTGGCAATAATCTCAAATATATTGTTAAAGAGGAACTTGGAGGTGGAAGAGGGGAAAAAAAAAAAATCTATTTTCTACATTGCCTGTGCCACAAAGGATATTTATTTGTGTCTGTCAAGAGCAGGCTTCCCCTCCCAGGTTCAGTTCTTGGTGTGGGCTGGTCTGTGGAGCACTGCTGGCCAGGAGAGCTGGGAGGAGCTCACAAGAGACATCCAGAGACAAAATCTGGGCTCAGCTTTCAGATTTCAGCTGGGTTTGCTTCTCAGCACCTCCCCTGCCCCCCTGGCCATCCCTGTGGAGATCCATCTCCACCCAGCTGGCCTGACCTCCCTCTTGGTAGTGCTGAGGGTTTGTGGACACCTACCTGACTGCCCTTCTCTCCAGGAGGACCTTCCTTGCCAGGATGACCCTGTGGATAAAGGAGACAAAGAAAAGAGAATTTGGGGGTTTAGAGCACATTTAATTTGGGGGTTTAGAGAACATTTAATTTGGGGGTTTAGAGCACATTTAATGCTTTGGTTTCTGTGATTTATTTGTCAGAGAGCAGCTGCTCCCCAGGAAGCTCCTGTTGACACAAGGTGGCCTCCCTGAAGCCGCCTTGCTTTTCCCAAAGGGAAAAGAGCAGCATTTGGATCCTTGGTGCTTTTCCACCTGGTTATTTCTAATTTTCCCCTTCAGCACCTCCCAGCAGAGCAGCACGAAGCATTCTGGAATATTCTCTGTGCAGCAGAACACCTGGGGGAGCGCAGAAGGAAAGCAGCACGGGGATTTTGCAGGTAGGAAAACAGATAAAATCCTGGTGGCAGGAAACTTGTCAAGGTCACGAGATGCCTAGACTGGTCAGAGCCCCTCATTAAGTTCCTGATTCCTGGAGTCCAGCGCCAGATCCCATGCCAAGTGCTCAGCTAACCTGCATCCCTGCTAGACAGAGGCTGCCTGGAGGCTGGCCAGCATTCCTCCTGGGATTTGATGCTGAATAATTCATCATCCCAGAGTTCCCAACATGTTCTCATCACCAGCCTTTACAGCCTTTTTGCTGGGGTGGCAGGCAGGAAAAAAATCAAAGTGTGAATTGCCCCAGGTAGAGCTGGGAGGGTCAGGGAGAAATGGGGAATCCAGGAAAGTGGTTTTGAGTGGTTTTCCCACAGCTGGATACAAAATGGAGCTGGGATGGAAAACAACTTTTGGTTTGGCAATATCTGCAGTATCAGTGACCTCTAGAAGGGCACTCACTGCACACCTTGGTTGGTTGAGGATGGTGGGAGCACATCCAGCTGCTCTAAAGCCATTCTGCACTCTCTGGTGTCTTCACTGAGCTCTCTCCTTGAAATTCACAAATTTCTACCCATATAGCAAATAAAATGATGAGCATTTTCCATCATCGGTTTCAGAAGGGAATGTCACACAAGCCAGACTCGCTGAGTTTAATAAAGGAACAAAATGACAGCTGTCACTCCTCCATCAGCAAAACGGGGGAGAAAACTCAAATCTCAGCTTGTCCTGAGATTTTATTGGCACCAACAGCATCAGGGCACAAAGGATCCCTAAAACCACTCCTGCCTTCAGCTCCAGGGTGAGCCTGCAGCAGGATTTCCAAAGCTTTGGTCCACCCTGCACTAAACCACCCCCATTTTTATTGTGCCCACCTCCCTGGCTGCTCCTGAGGTCACAAATTGATGGGCAGCCCTCGCAGCGAGGCCCTGGGGGATTTTCAGGGATTTTCCAAGACAGATTTCTATAAACAGAACCCTTTTTGTCCTTGGAAAGAGCCACCCAAGCCCTGCAACGCTGCCCACCTGTGGGAAAGGTCCCTGCCCATGCACAGCCACTGTGCAGCTCCTCCACAGCCTCCAGGCTGCTTAAAAATAGAATTTCTCCAGCAGAAGCTCCCCGGAGGCTGCTGCAGGAATTTCACGTCAAAACCTACAGATTTAGAGATGTTCTGGGCTTTGCTGGAGCTGCTCTGTTGACTCAGCTAACAATTGTACGGATGTTCCAAGTGCCCTCTGTAGGAATGACAATCCCAGGGTGGGAAATGCAATTTTTCTTTTTTTTTTAAATTTTATTTTATTTTTTATTCTCCTCAGGCCGTGCTCTGCATTTGCAGAATGAAATAATTTTGTGGGGTTTTTTTTTTTTTTAATTCTTAAATGAATGTCTCTCTGAGATGGTTAACAATGAGATGGGGTTGAAAGGTTGGGGATTTTTTTGAGGCTGATTTCGACAGCGAGGAAGATGTTTAAAGTGGGATAGGAGAGGGGGAAGCTGTGAGAATTAAACATTGACAGGGAATTCCCACCTGCTCCTGTCACCTCTGTGAAACCAAGGGTGAGGGCAGGCAGGGCTGGGGTGGGAATAAACACCCCCAGAGCACAGGGGAGGAGCAAGAAGAGGGGAGAGAGAGGCCTGAAGGGACGGTGAGAAGAACCCAGGGTGAGCAGAGCTGTGAGGAGGCTTCCCAAACTGACCCCAGCCCCCAAGGAGGGTCAGCTGACCTTGCAGGATATTTTTTTCCATATCAAACATTTTTTTTCCATATTACACTGTATTTCTTCCATATTAAATCCCATTTCCACCCTAAACTCTCTTTATTTCCATTTTAAACCGCCTTTACCCCAACCAGAAAGCTTTTCTTGCTTTTACCCTTCCCATTTCCCCCTCTTTGAGCTGTGAGGGGCTCAGATCACAACCTGGGCTCCCCTTCCCAAGCCCAGGGGCCATTCCAGAGTGGGGAGAAGCCCCAGCAGGGAGAGGAGAGGAGAGCAGCACTTACCGGGGGCCCATCAGCACCAGGCATTCCAGGTAGACCAGGTTTGCCCAGCGGGCCCTAAAACCAAACAGAAAATCACTCAGAGCCTGCAGAGCATCAGAGGATGGCGATTCCCGGCCACATTTCCTGCTGTTCCCAGCTCTGAGAGGCTGCAGGGGTGGAAAAGCTGCCACAGGTTGGAGGGAAATCTGTTTATTTCTGTGTTGCAGCATCCTGGGACATCTCACACACAGGCAAGATGCAGCAATGAGAGCCCCACGGGAGCTTCAGGCACCTCAGCCTGCCAAAAACCCAGGATGCTGCACAGCTGGGTGATGACAAGGTGAGGATACCAAACTCTGGGCTCACAGGACCAAGAAATGCCCAATTTTTTGGTGAAAAATGGCAAAGGAGAGGAGCTGTCCCAGCTGACTGGACTGGCTGCTCTAACGCTGCTCAGTGAGCAATTTTTAATTAGCAACTGCTGATTTCTCCCACATCAGGTGGTGCCACTTGTCTGACAGGGCTGTCAGCGTGCTCCTTCCCAGGGGAATTATTGATAATTCCACTCCAAACAAACAGGAGGGGACAGGGACACACACATAGTGGCCCTGCTCTGTGGGAGCTGAGAAAGATCTGAATGACCCCTCTGAAGGAAAAACTTCTCCTTCTTTAAATCCTGCTGGTTCCAGGGCTCTTGGGGGCAAAAATTTCCTGCTTTAAATCCTGCTGGTTCCAAAGATCTTGGGGGAAACTTTTCCTCCTTTAAACCCTGCTAGCTCCAGAGCTCCTGGGGGAAATTTTCCCCCTTTAAATCCTGCTGGTTCCAGGGCTCTTTGGGGGGAAAATTTCCTGCTTTAAATCCTGCTGGTTCCAAAGATCTTGGGGGAAACTTTTCCTCCTTTAAACCCTGCTAGCTCCAGAGCTCCTGGGGGAAATTTTCCCCCTTTAAATCCTGCTGGTTCCAGAGCTCTTGGGGGAAAATTTTCCCCCTTAAACCCTGTTGATCCATAGGCCAACACCAACCCCACACTGACAGCCAGAAAATCAGAGGCAAGGGATCCATGGGCTCTCCCCATTATCATCGCACTCAGACTCCCAAAACCCACAGAAAAAGACAATTTTCAATCCTCTCCTCATGTTTTACCATAGGCTGCCTTCAAAATGTTTCTCCTCAGAGGGGAAATGAATGCAAATATGAGGAATTAGAGGTAAACTGAGCTGGCTTGATCTCTCCTCTGTCTGGAATGAGGCATTAGACTTTCATGGCCATGGCTGCAAACAGATGTTGCACATGAGGCAAAGGAGCAGCTGAAGGAGCAAAATGCAAATCCACGGCTGAGGGAGGACAATCCAGAGCTGAATTTCAACTCACTTTCTCTCCTGGGGGACCGATGGCGCCTTGTGGACCTGGAAGACCCTGTGAAAAGCCAAAAAAAAAAAAAAAAAATTAAGGTCGTTAAGGAGGAAGTTATTCCTTCCAAACGCATTTTGGCTGTGCATTATTTTAGTGCCTGTGAGGCCTGGGGATTTCCCCAGCTCCATTCATTCCCAAAATGTCTTGTGAGGGGCAATAAAATGTCTGGAGAGCTGCAGGGGCTGTGGGCTGCCAGGAGGGATGCTCTGAGGAGCAGGATTCCCTGAGGGCCATGGAAAAAGCCTGGAGAGCTGAATTGTCCCCCTGGCTCTGCAGGAACTGCACAGTGGGGTGTTGACCATGCCACAGGATGGGATTTGGCCACCTGGAGCTGCTCTGGCTGTGCCACAGCCAGGTGAGAGCCGGGGGATCCCACCCTGGGAGTGTTTGCAGGAAGATTTTGGACTGGAAATGTTTCCTCAAGCCAAATCCCTCCAAATGCTGCTCCCCTTTCTGGTGCTGAAATCTCCCCCCCTGTTTTTCCCAGCTGTGGAGAAGGAGATTTGTCCTTACCTGAGCCCCTGGGTTCCCCTGCTGTCCTGGGGGCCCTGGCTCGCCCTGAGGTCCCTGTGAGGAGACAAGGGCAGGTGGGAAAGGTGAGATGGGGCTGGAAGCACAATTCCTGGATCTCCCCAGCTGTGTCCCTGTATTCCCACTGCTGGATCCACCTGAGCTGGATCCACACACTCCCACAGCTCCCTGAGCCCTCTCTGACCTTCCAAGAGCTGCTGGAAACAGCTTTTCCCACTGGGAAAAGGAAGGGGGAAGTGACTTCAAGGCTCACTGACTCCTCATTTCCAGCCCAAAGGAGCTGAGCAAGGCTCTAACACCACCTGGTCTGCCTTTATTCTCCAGGGAATTCATCCCATCCCATCCCATCCCATCCCATCCCATCCCATCCCATCCCATCCCAGTTTTTTCCCCTCTCAGTTAAATGTCTCTATTTTGATATTCATTATCTCAGCGAGCATCTCGAGGAAAATGTTTCATCTTTCATGGAGAAATAATGTGTAATTCCATCAGAAATTACAATAAATTAACATCCATTTGCTGCAGGAAGATGCTCCTGGTGTTTTCATGGGCTTTGATGAGGATCTAGACCAGGCTAAAAAGCAATTAGCAAATGTAATCTAACAGAATTTTGCATTTTGCCCTATAGAAAATCTGAACTGCCTGTAAAAATTTGCAGGGAGGACTTACCACATTCCCTTTGGGACCTGTTTGTCCATCCATGCCAGCCACACCCTTTGAAAGGATTAAAAAAAACACAGCAGTAAGAAAATATCACATTATTTCACACCACAAAAGCAGGGAAAGTGCCATAAAAATAATAAAAAAAATCAGGAAGCCCTTTGAACCACGTGGAAAGGGAATAATTTCCTAAAGGTGTTTGGTTAAGCAGCCAATTCCATGAATCCAGGTGAATTCCTAAAGTCATTTCAGTGCTTTCCCCTTTGGTTTAACCTGCCTGGGAGGCACAGTCAGCACCAGGCTGAGGCAATCCTGGCTGGATTGCATCCCACAGGCGTGGAGTGGAAAAGGAAAAGAGGGAAAAATCCCTGGCTGGTAAAGGGGACAGAGCTGTACCAAACCCAAATTCACCTGGAGTCTGAGAGGGGAACACGGAGCTGTCCCCCTGGCACCATTTCAGAATCATGGGATTGTCCAGCTTGGAAAACACCTCCAAAATCATCAAACCCAGCATGAACCCAGCTCCGAACCCAGCCTTGTCCCCAGGTGCCACATCCTCTGGGCTTTGAACACTTCCAGGCATGGGGACCCCACCATTCCCTGGGCACTGCCTGACAACTCCTTCCAGGAAGAAATTTTTCCTAATACCCATCCTAAATCTCCCCTGGCACAACTTTTCTTCTCATCCTGTCTCTTGTTACTTGGGAAAAGAGGCTGATCTTCCTCCCCACAACCTCCTGCCAGGGAGTTGTAGGGAATAAGATTTCCCTGAGCCTCTTTTTCTCCAGGATAATTTTTTATCCTGGGGGGTGTAACACCCCATCCGTGGGGGATGAGACAGTTTGGGAGCAAATCCTGAATCCTCATTCAACCCCAGCAGCACCCAGCTCACAGCAAAGCTGTCCTCACATCCCAGGAGGGCTGAAAGGCCACAAAACGTTCCCCATTAAACACTGAACCCTTGGGTTGGGTTTTTAAGGTCTGGGATCCCAGCGAGCAGCGATTTAGGGAGAGCCCCTGCATCAGCACTTCCAGGGATGAGGTCTCCTGAATAAATCCCACATGCTCTGGCCTGGAATACGAAGGAACTGCTTGAGGCAGGAGTTAATAGCAAAGGCACTGTGTTAATAACTCTCCTTCCTCCCTTCCAGCCTGAGCAAGGAATTCATATTTACTCAGGTGGGGCGGATCTGCTGCTGCCCTGCAGGGACGGGGCAGCCCTGAGGATGGGGACAGGCAGACTCTGAGCCCCCAGCTCCTCTGGGGACACCCCTGCCTCTCACTGCCCACACGTGGCAGATGATGCAGCTGGAGGATCTGGGTTTTTGTCTGGAAGGCTCCGGGGAGGGCAGCAGGGACTCACCGGTGGCCCCGGGGGGCCTGGGGGTCCCTTGGGGCCCAGCAGTCCTCGGGGTCCCTGTGGGGGGAAAAACAGGGTTAGAATTCCCAGCTGAGGATGAGCATCACGCTGGACGTGGACACAGGAGGGTTTGGAAGGACCTTGCAGCTGCTTCCCTGAGTTACAAACTGGGAAAGAAATCCTGTGGGCACAGACCCCTCAGTTAATAATAATAACAAGAATAACAACAATAACAACAATAACAACAACAATAACAAAAATAACATTATTATTATTACTATTATTACTATTATTACTATTATTACTACTACAGGCATTTATTCCTTGGGTTGGAACAAATTCCCTTTGAATGAACTTTAAAAAAAAAAATTAATTTAATCCTCCTCCTGGATTACCCACACTCTTTGCAGCCAAGCCATTCCAGCTGGGAGTTCATGAAGGATGGCCTGACAACACCAGTGGATCATCCCAAAAATCCCTGAAGATTGAGATTTTATCATGGACAACACACACAGCTCAGCAAGGCTGGCAGAGGTTTCCATAAATGTACATTTTTAAAGGCTTTGGGTTCTCCAGCATGGACAGGTCAGGATTTCTGCTGCCCTGGTGTTTTCCTTCCGTCCCTGCCTTCCTCACCAGATCTAACTTGGCATTGCTGAAATTGGTAGCATTGGAGCTTCACATGGAATAATGGCAGGAGAATTGGAATTCCTGCAAAGGGAATTGTTGGAAATCCCAGCCCAGCCCCTCCTGGAGCCTTCAGGGGGCTTTGGAGTGGAAGGAAAGGGATAGGAGCTGTGAGCACTCATTGAGAGATCACTTTTAACCACAGCCCCTTCCTGCAATGAGGGGAACTCTGGGATTTGTATGGATGGAGCTGCCATGGAGGGAAGAAAATCGTTCTTGATTGATGGGCAGCTTTATCTGTCTGCCCAAATATTCCACAGCCTCCTTTTTATGATGCAGAGAGGGCTGAGGAATTAAAATGAAATGTTGCAGGGTGGAATAGGAGACATTAATGAAATGTCTTGTCTTGGAGGTCGTGGGGATTCAGATCGCACGCAAAAAAAATTGCAGTTTCCAGCAAAAACTGGATGAGTCCATGGTCTACTAGGAGACATTAATGAAATGTCTGTCTTGGAGGTCGTGGGGATTCAGATCCTAAAAAAAAAAAATAAAAATTGCAGTTTCCAGCAAAAACTGAATGAGTCCAAGGTCTGTCCCAGCAACTGGAGACCTCCTGGGCTAAAGCCCTGCATGAATCCAGAGCAGAAACTCCACAGGTGAGGGCAACTGGAAGGAGATGGAGCAGGATGAAGGGAAACCCATTTTGAAGTCCCACCACTGGTTTCAACCACATTTGGGATGATCTTCTTTTGGCTGAGGGCAGAGAGGACAAACCCCCAGCTTCAGGGGGTGTGTATTTACAGCAAAATTCCCTCTAATGCAACTGAATCCTTTATCCTGGCCAGCCCAGAGATTTTCACTCGTGCTGCTGAAATAAAAATAAATTTCCCTGCGTGTGTTACCCTCATTGAAGCTCCTCTTTTGTTGCTGTGTTACCTGAGCACATAAATGCTTTTTAAGAAGTTAATAAGCCATAAGTTATTGCTTGGACATGTGCTAAGGAGATAGCTGAGTTGATTAATCTTCCCCAGAAGTTAATCAGACATCTTGTCTATAATTTAGTTCCAGCGAGTCTGTAAATGCCAACCCTTCCCTCTCTGCCATGAACTGTGCCCAGCAATTCCCATCAATTAATCTCAGGCCACCACGCTGGGCCCTAGCACAACAAAACCAGGGATTTTGAAAGAAATGATGGAGAATGTTCTTTTCGTAACAAAGGAAATGCATTCAGGATGGAATCAGCAGCCAGCAACTGCAGCACACAGAAATCTACAGCCAGCACCAGCAGCTTGCATTGCAATAAAGTGAGAAATACTCAGTATTAGGGGGGAAAAATGCCTTTTCAGAGTGTTTAATTGACAGCCTGTCTGTTTGGTTTTTTTAGTGGGATTCTCCTTGAAAACATTTATTTGGCTTGGTGCAAAGAATTTGTCCAAGCCCAGTGAGATCTCCTCCATCCTTCCTCACACCAGGAATTGCAGCTCCTCCTCCAGCTGCTCTGCTGGGGCCCAAACATTGACAAAATGCAGACTGAGGAAGTTCTGTGTGCTGGGAGCAGGACACTGACCCCACTGAAGGCAGAAAAGTCTCCCTGAGCTCAATCCTGCCAGGATTTCATCCCGAGGTTTATCAGGAGTCACTGACACTGCTCAGGACAAAATGTGGGAGCTCTGTGGTTAAGATGCCACTGCCCTGAGATAAAACCTTGTTCTCACTGGAATTTGCTATGAATACTCACAAAAAAAATGTATTTTATATCTATTTTCCACACCTAATTTCTACCCCAGCCCGATTACCTCAAGCCCAAACCAGAGAGAAGGATACAGGCAGGAAAAATACGACATTAATCTACATTTTATATTTACAGTTATGATTTTTCTGAGCAATCAATGAGATTTTTTTTCTTCATTAAGAACAAACCAAATCAAACAAACAAACAGAAGAACTCCCACCATTGTGAGAGTGAAAATAAGTGAAAATTATGAATGAAAATTAGCAAAGCAGAGTTGTTCCAGCACAGCCCACTCTCAAATTGTTCATGTGGAGCTTCAAGCTGACTTCAATCCCTGCAGGATCTCAGGGCAAAGCTGCCCTGAGAGAGCCCTAAAAATGCCTTTCCCACCCCAAATCCATGGAAAGGGGGACGGGGATACTCACAGGCTCTCCAGGGAGACCTCTGGGTCCAACTTCTCCATCATCTCCCTGGGCAGCAGCAGAGGCACGGAGAGAAGCAGCAAGAGACAGAAAAAAATCCACATTTAATTCAGCCACCCTCAGGGGTTTTGTCCTTTTTAAATAATATTCACACAGAAAAGCAGTTTCTCTGGAGCATTGACATGGTTTCTGTGACTAAGGAAGACCTTGGAAGCTTGAGGACTAAAATTGAGTTTACCAGGGACTAGAAAGGCCTGAGGATCCTTCAGAATTCCTGCTGGTGTTTAGAAAGATGGATTTTCCCACCAGACAAGGGGCTGTAGACACAACTCAGGGCAGGTGAGGCAACAACCACAAGATTTAACACCAAACTGAGTGGCAGGCAGGGTGGGAATGGGGTTTAGCCAAATCAGAGCTCCTCAGATAAACCAGAAGCAGCAAAAGGCTGATTCTCCATCCCTCCTCTCCATATCCTGCTGGGATAAAACCCCAAAATTATCAAATTATGCTTCCATGAGCTGATTTTCACCCCAAACCTGAGGCTCCTCCTCAGGAAACCAAGCCCAGCAGGGAGCCCTTGGAATCCTCCCTCCAGTGCTGCTCTGCTCCCACCCTGCAGTTTTTTCCTTTTCCTTTTGGGATTCTGACTCTCCTCCTTCCCCCTCCAGCTTTGCTCTGCTCAACCCCAGAGCACTTTACAGCCACCATTAATTAACCCACCCTCCCAGGCTGTGGTGAGGGTTATCTGTGTGATTATTTGAGTTTTACAGGGACACAAAGAGCCCAAAGTGGGAAGAAAACACCGTGGAAGGGGGTGAGAGCTGGGAAATCCACGCTGGCTCCTCAGCTTGAACCCACACACAAAACTTCAGCAGTTTTAAGCTCTCCCCTTAAACCAGAGCTGGGATCACTTAGTCTGGGCTTTGCTGAAAACCCTCTGCTGCTGGCTGAAGGAGGAGTGAACAATTCAATCTTTGATTCCTGCCTCTGTCTGGAGTTTCTGCTCCCCAAATCTGGCTGCAATCCTCTGGGTTTCAGAAAATCAGAAGCCATCATTTGCTCACCGTGAGCAATAATTTACTCTCTATAAATACTATTTTCTTTTTCCTCTTAACAAAACCTGAGTTTCCTGACCAGATCTTTAAAGCCAAATTCTTCTTTCCACTTCAGCTCCCATCTCCTTGCCCTGCTTCCCTCCCAGGGAAGGCTCAAGGCCTGGGAGCTCCTGCCTGGTGCTGCATCTGCTTCTTGTTTCCAGGGGTTCCTTAGGAATTCCCAGTCCCCAGGCAGACTTACCCTCTCCCCATCCTCTCCAGGAGCCCCTGGGGGGCCGTGGGGTCCTGGCTCACCCTGCAAAAAAAGGCAGAAAATGCTTCAGAGAAGGTGCAAACACTCTGGCAATGGAAACCACCAGGGAATGGGGATGAACCAAGGCATGGATTTGATTTTTCTGTCTGTGCTGGAGGTCCCTGTGCCCTCAGAGCTGCCTCTGTCTCTGCTCCAGGGAGGGGAGGGACACCCAGCCTGCCAAAATAACCTTCCCCCATTTCCCCCCACCCCCATCCCATTTTTTAAATTATAAATTGCAATTTCAAACATTTTCCACCCCATCCAACAGCAGGTTTTGCCTCTTGCTTTGGTTTTTCAGGCTGCATTGCGTTAAGGTAATTTTTCCTCCCCATCCTGATTTGAGCAGCCCCAGAAGGATCCTGAAGAGGGATTTTGCAGCTCCTGTGAGGGTGCTGAGACATCCCACAGGCTCTTAGGGACACTCATCCTCTCCTGTGCCTCCTCCCAGGGTTTCATCCCAGTCACAGTGGAAGAACACTTACTCTGTTCCCCTTCTCCCCAGGCAAACCAGCCAAGCCATCAAATCCTCGGTCACCCTGAAAGCAAAACCAGTTTAAAACCCATTTTAAACCAGTTTAAAACCTTTCAAAACACATTTCCAGCTGTATTTGAGTACCCTTCCCATTTATTTCCTTTCTGTGCCGAGGAGGGATGGATTTTCTCCCTCAGACATTCAGCCTTCACTTTCCATCAGACCAGTTTTCCATCCCCTCCTTGCCTGGCAGCCCCTCCTCAGAGGGACAGGCTCATAACAGCACTTTGCTGGGTAAATGATTTATGCTCTCCAATCTCTGTCTCAAACCCCCATCTCTTGCAGCCTTAAATATCTCCATAATAAAGAGTTTAAACACTCCAAGGCACCATTCCCTGGGCAAACTCTCCCTGCATTCCATTTCCAGCACAGCAGCTTCTTTCCTGCTTGGTAATTCTGGCAGATTGCAGCAGAATGAAGGGATTTTGTCTCCAATAAAACAAAAATAATAGAGGGGATTAAAATTCTTCACCACACCTCCAATTCCTCACCTGGTTAAGAGGTGTTTTTTTGGTGGTTCCACTCTAGAGGCTTTCCAGCCACTCGTTCGTGTTTGTTTTTTGTAATTGGGATTCTGAAGTATTTGTTCTACAACTGCAGCATATTTCATCCAGCAGTTCATTAAAAAAAAAAAAAATTAAAAAAAAAACAGGAAAAGAAAAGGGAAAATTGCTATTCTGCCTTCCAGAAGCATGTTTAACTTCCCTCTCTTAACTTCACAGGAGCCTCTGGACCAGCTCACAACCTCCTCCAAGCAAGCTGGGCTCCTTCTCCAGGGATCCCTCAGCTCATTCCTGCTGAAGAGAAGGTGCAGATTCCCCAAATCCATAAAAACCTGGCACTACCTTTGGTCCTGTCTGGCCTGGCATCCCCCGGGCACCGTCACTGCCAGCTCGTCCCTGCAACAGAGAACACCAAAGTCAAATCCAGAGGGTAACACAGAACCACAGGGACAACTGGGGCTGAGACAGGGTTTAGTTAAGCCAGAGAAAGGGTTTATTTAAGTCAGGTGAGGGAAAAAATCCCTGCTCTGTGTTTGAAGCCACATCCTGAGGCTAATGAGAGGTGGAAGACTAATGGCAGCGAAGCCACTTCACTACATGGGCCATGGTCCTTGGTTTTATGTGAAAAAATGATCTCCCAGCACATTTTAAGAGATGCTAATGATGATGGCTGCAAGTTGGAATGAGAGTTTCTGTTTCCAGGAAGGCAGAAGTGGGTCACACACAAGACTTGCTCGTTCCTTACTCTGGCAAGTGGAGTCATGGCGAGCCAGAGGGGGATGTGAAATAAAAATCAGAATTAGGGATGGAAACAGAGCAGGATTTACACCTGATCCATTCTTGGGACTGGATTCTCCTCACACACTGCCAGGAGTGGGGACTCCAAGCTGGTTCAAAGCATTTGTGCAGCTCCCAACACCAGGGAGCCAAAACACCCCGGGATAAAAGAGTGGGATGTGCAGCTCTGAATTCCCCACACACTGCTCAGATTTTAACTCCCATCCTCATTTTTGTCCTCCCAGATTTTAACTGCCATCCTCATTTTCATCCTCCCAAATTTTAACTCTCCTCCTCATGTGTGTCCTCCCAGATTTCAACTGCCATTCTCATTTGTGTCCTCCCAAATTTTAACTCCCATCCTTGTGTCCTCCCAGTTTCTGTCCTCCCAAACTTTAACTCTCCTCCTCATTTGTGTCCTCCCAAATTTTAACTCCCATTCTCATTTGTGTCCCAAAATTTAACTCCCATTCTCATTTGTGTCCCAAAATTTAACTCCCATTCTCATTTGTGTCCCAAAATTTAACTCCCATTCTCATTTGTGTCCCAAAATTTAACTCCCATTCTCATTTGTGTCCCAAAATTTAACTCCCATTCTCATTTGTGTCCCAAAATTTAACTCCCATTCTCATTTGTGTCCCAAATTTTAACTCCATTCCTTGTCAGATTTTAACTCCCATCCTGATTTCTGTCCTCCCAAACTTTAACTCTCCTCCTCATTTGTGTCCTCCCAAATTTCAACTCCCATCCTTCTGTCCTCCAAGATTTTAACTCCTTTCCTGATGTCCTCTCAGGTTTAAACTCCCATCCTTGTGCCCTCCCAAATTTTAACTCCCATTCTCATTTGTGTCCCAGATTTCAACTCCCATTCTCATTTGTGTCCTCCCAAATTTTAACCCTCATCCTTGTTTCTGTCCTCCAAAATTTTAACTCCCATCTTTGTGTCCTCCCAGATTTTAACTCCCATCCTGATTTCTGTCCTCCTAGATTTTAACTCTCCTCCTCATTTGTGTCCCAAATTTTAACTCCATTCCTTGTCAGATTTTAACTCCCATCCTGATTTCTGTCCTCCCAAACTTTAACTCTCCTCCTCATTTGTGTCCTCCCAAATTTCAACTCCCATCCTTCTGTCCTCCGAGATTTTAACTCCTATCATTCTGTTCTCCCAGATTTTAACTCCCATCCTTGAGCCCTGCCAGAATTTAGCTCCCATCCTGATTTGTACCCTCCCAAATTGTCACTCCCACCCTGGTTTGTGTCCCCCACGGTGGCCCTGCCCCAGCCCAGCCTGGCCGCCGGCCGGCTCTTGTGCAACGCCCTCGGCGCAGAGGAATTGTTTGGCAGCAGGAGCAGTTTCCAGCAGGAATTGCAGCTCCTGCCTGCTCAGCACAGCTGCCAGGACACTCACCCTGCGGCCTGGCTTCCCTGCAGGACCGGGAGGACCTTGGATGCCTCTTGGACCCTGCAAGGAATTGAGGAGAGAGGAAGAAATGTCACCTGAAGGGAGCACGAGCAGAGCCGGTGATCAGTGCCCGCTTCAGGCACTGCTGGGGCTCTCAGGGCCACCAGGGCTCCAAAACGAATCCCTGGAGCAGAGCCTGTGGTTCCAAACACACAGGGAAGGGTCAGGGCTGGGCCTCCAGGAATTGTAGGTGTTTATCCATGGGGGAGCTTTTGCAAGCACATGGTGGAGATGCATCCCATAAATCACTTCCCTTGGCATCAGAAAATGGGAACTTTCCCTCAGTGCAGGATTTAAGGCTTGGAAGAACAAAATCCTGAGCATTAGTGAATTCTCCACAGTTCAAATTATCTTTTATGTACAGGACTCCTCCATGGGTGTTTTCCCAGGAAGGGAGCTGCAGAGTTTTACACTGCTGGCTTGAAACCACGTCCAGGGCCTGCATTTAGACACTTGGAGGGACATCTCCATGCCAAACACGTGTTCCCACAGCTTCCTGCTCCCAGTTGGCACGGGGTGACTGAATCCCTGCTTCCCAACAGCCTCTCATGCAGGACTGGCTGCTCCACCCCTCATTTCTCCAGCTCCCCCTGTTCCACACTCACCTGAGGTCCCATTTCTCCAGCTTCTCCCTTCAGTCCTCCACTGCCTGGGGGTCCCTTTGGACAGAGAAGAGGATTTATTATATTTTTCCTCAAGGGAGACAGAGAAGAAGATTCCACATTAAGGAAAAGCCATTCATGGATCAAGAGCCCACAGGGAGCTGGATCAGCTGGGTTGGCTCCATCCTCACCAATTCCATCACTCCCAGTTCCATCCTCACCACCTCCATCCTCCCCAGTTCCATCATCCCCCATCTCCATCCTCTCCAATTCCATCACTCCCCAGTTCCATCCCCCAGTTCCATCCCCTAATTCTATCCCTCCAGTTCCATCCCTTAATTCTGTCCCCCCAGTTCCATCCCCCAATTCCATATCCCCAGTTCCATCACCCCAATTCCATCACTCCCCAGTTTCATCCCTCAGTTCCATCCCCCCAAATCCATCCCATCATTTTCATCCCATCCCCCCAATTCTATCCCACCAATTCCATCTCCCCAATTCCACATCCCCAGTTCCATCCCTCCCCATTTCCATCCCTACCCAGTTCCATCCCCCCAATTCCATCACTCACCATTTACATCTCCCCAGTTCCATCCCCCAATTCCACCACTCCCCAGTTCCATCCTCCCAGTTCCATCCCCCCAATTCCATCACTCACCATTTACATCTCCCCAGTTCCATCCCCCCAATTCCATATCCCCAGTTCCATCTCCCCCATTCCATGCCCCAATTCCACATCCCCAGTTCCATCCCTCCCCATTTCCATCCCTCCCCAGTTCCATCCCCCAATTCCACCCCTCCCCAGTTCCATCCTCCCAGTTCCATCCCCCCAATTCCATATCCCCAGTTCCATCTCCCCCATTCCATGCCCCAATTCCACATCCCCAGTTCCATCCCTCCCCATTTCCATCCCTCCCCAGTTCCATCCCCCAATTCCACCACTCCCCAATTCCATCCCACAGTTCCATCCCCCCAATTCCATCCCTCCCCAGTTCCATCTCCCAATTCCACCACTCCCCAATTACATCCCACAGTTCCATCCCCCCAATTCCACATCCCCAGTTCCATCCCCCCAATTCCATGCCCCAATTCCACATCGCCAGTTCCATCCCCCCAATTCCATTCCCCCAATTCCATGCCCCAATTTCACATCCTATGCCCCAATTCCACATCCCCAGTTCCATCCCCCCAATTCCATGCCCCAATTCCATGTCCCAGTTCCACATCCCCAGTTCCATCCCCCAGTCCCACACTCACCATGGGTCCCGGCCGCCCCGTCAGGCCCATGGGTCCCGCTGGTCCCCTCAGTGCCAGCTGCAACAGAAGGACAAACGGGGCTCACCTCGTGACAAAGCCACCACTGAGCCACCAGCCTCAGTTCTCTCCACACCCACAAACCCCTGGAGCAACGTCCACATCCCAAGGGAATTCCAGATGCTGTCCCACAATGGGCAAGGAACTTCTCCTTGCCCAGATTTGCTGTGGCTGCCCCTGGATCCCTGGAAGTGTCCAAGGCTAGGCTGGGACACTTGGAGCCACCTGGGATCAGGGAAGGTGTCCCGGCCCATGGAAGGGCTGGGAATGAGATGGGCTTGATGGTCCCTCCCAACCCAAACCATTCTGTGATTCTATGAAAGCCCCTGGACTGTCCATGAATCTGCTGAGAGGACATAAATATTTATGACCCCACTTCAGCTGAAAAGAATTTTTTTCTTTATTGTCCTGGTGGTTCAATTTTAGAGGAATTTTTCCCTTTTTTTTTGGTTAACATCCTCCAAAGTGAACTCCAATTCAAACTGAACACAGGGGGCTTTTAGCTCCATAATTAAGGAGTCGTGTTAACCATGCATCAACCCAATAATTCCCATGGTGGGAAATGGAGCTGGGCTATGCTTTAAAACATCCCTCAGACAATTTGTTCCCTCGTGACAATCCAACACTTCCAAAGAGTTGTAATTATCTGTGTACTCCAGTAATTAAAATCTACCCAGTGACTGAGCTTGGAATGGCAGAAATATTGCACAAATGCTGGGTTCTGTGGCATCTTTTTACAACACCCCATTAAAAAGGAGATGCTGTGAACCACTGCTGGCTGCAACAACACTCGGTGCCTAATGAAAGCCAAATTTTAAGGGGATAAATCAACCTAATAATGCAATTAACAGCAGTGATAATGAGAAAAACAAACCCAAAAAGGAAAAGGTTATGCTTGCTGCAGGACCCTGTTTTCCAATCCTGTCATATCCTGTAGTTCCTTACAAAAATGACATTTATTTCCCTTTCTCCATCATGGTTTTCAGCCAAAATGTTGAAGTTCACGAAAAAATTGATTTTTGTCCTTTCTAGAAATATTCAACTTTTTATCCACAGTGCAAAAGTTACCCAGGATTTATCTGGGTTTTAAAGTTTTTTATCCCAAACTTGAAAATTTAAATAAAAAGGGACTTTTAATGAGGAGAGGGAGATTATTTATTTTTGGGTAAATCACAATTTTCAGCAGGCTGAACAACAACAAAAAAAAGAACAAAAGCAGAGAGTTGGAGAAAGCAGATGCTTCTCATGAAGCGTTTATCAGGTCAAACCCTCTATTTCCCAGGAAAATAAAATGCTGATGGAAAAACGCTGGGCAGGCTGGAAATTAAGACTGACAAGGTAGCACCAGGAACATAATCCAGGATATTATTGGCAGCACAAGGTTAATGGACAGGAAAATGCAGTGGCTGGGAGGATCAGGACTCTGCCTGAATCTGTAAAAAACCCAATTAAATTCCTTTGGAAAAGGATGGAAAGCAGAAAATTCCCAGCTAAGGCAAACACCTCATTAAAAACCCACCAGGGGCAGGTGCCACCCATGGGGGGAGATCCCAATGGATTTTATCCCATATAAAGGTGAAATAAATTGAGTTTTTCGCTTATTTTAGCCCCCAAAAAATCCGTGTTAAAATCTGCAAACAGCTCAGAGTGACAAAGCAGCTCCAACCACACATCCCAGCTGCAGCCAGATGTGGGCTCTGTAGCTGTCCCCAAATAAAACAGCCCCAAAGCTGTGTCCCTTTGGGAATTGCCACCCTAAGAAATGTTCTCCTTCGTGGCAAGGGTGTGTTTGCAGCAGAATTTGGTCCCTTTGGGGCAAACAGAGCAGTTTGGGAACTGTGGGTTCCTCCTCTCTTTCTGCATCTCTGTTTTTAATGTCAGCACTCAGGAAAGCTCCCACGAGACCCAGGGGAGGACAATTTCAGAGCTCCACTGGCTAAAAATGAAGTTTTATTTTGAAGAGAGGAGCACAAAGCCTTTCCCACTGAGTGTCCATGCAGGCAGGGAGCAGGAGCTGTACTGGGAATGTGCCAATCGTGTTTCACCAGTGAGCCAGGGATGATTTGGACATCAATCAATAAGGCCATCCGGGGAAAGAAATGTTCCAGGGATGGTCAGCATGTATTCCCAAATAAATGCATGAAATTACAAATCTGCCTGTTGAGATTCTGGGAGCTGGGGACAGCTTCTGTCTGTGACATAGGTTTCATTATTAGGGTTCACTGGGGGGGGGAAAAACCATACAAAAATAAGGAAATGCTTTGAGCCCAGCCCCTAGTTGCTCATAGGGACCCTCAAAATACAAATACACCGAAGCCAGAGGCCTGCAGGAGATTAAACCCATCTTTCCATCAGCTGGGTGTTAGTAAAAACCCGGACCACGCCGCTGCAATCCCGTGGCAGGCGAGAGGTTCCACCAGCAGCACTGAGGATGAGCGTGGTCACAGAGATGTGAGAGGCTGATTCTGCTCGGGCAGAATTCTGGGTTCTGGGAGCCGTGGCAGGCTCTGCCAGCTGGCAGCACTCACCCTGGCCTGCTGCAGGATAGCCTGGGCTTGCGCCTCCTGGGCCGACACCATGGGTCCTTTGGAGCCCGCGTCGCCTCCGCCGCTGAAGCGGAACTGGTGGGAGCAAGGTGACAAAGCAGGTCACAACTCTGTCCCTGCGGCCTCCCCAGGCTGAGCCTGAGCAGCTCCGTCCAGCCCCGAGCCCACCCCAGCCCTCCCAGTAACCCCAGTAACTCCAGTGGCCTCGGCTCACGGCTCAGGGCCACCGAGGGAGCGATTCCCACACGCTGCCAGCTCGGGGTGGCAACAAGGAGGGGGATTGTGCCCTCGGGGACTTCCCACACCACATCCAGCACCCACGGGGGCTCTGCCAGGGCTGGCAGCCCTGCTCTCCCAGAACTGGCATTCCCTGCTCTTCCAGACTGGCATCCCTGCTCTTCCAGACTGGCATCCCTGCTCTCCCAGGGCTGCCATTCCCTGGTGCCCAGGGCTGCCATTCCCTGCTGTTCAGACTGGCATGCCTGCTCTCCTGGAGCTGCCATTCCTGCTCTCCCAGAGCTGCCATTCCCTGCTCTCCCAGGGCTGCCATTCCTGCTCTCCCAGGGCTGCCATTCCCTGCTCTTCCAGACTGGCATCCCTGCTCTCCCAGACTGGCATTCCCTGGTGCCCAGGGGTTGTCTCAGGTTATTTGTGCAGCTCTGGACAAAGCTGAGCTGCTGGAGTGTGGCACTTTGACCAAACACCAGAGTTTGGGCTGCTGTTCAAGCCAGGAGCCTTCAGCACTCAAAAATGCCCCAAATATTGATGTTTTATTTCCCCAACTTTGAAACAGAAGGAGTTTAATATTTCCTTCCACCCCCCTTTCCTTGGCCTGCTGCTGCCTTAGCTGGCAGATTTTGCAAGGAGGATACTCCTGGTGGCTGGAAGAACCTCCTTGGACAGCTCTGTCACCTGTGTTTCACCTCAGCTGGCTTTAGGTGTGTGACCATACCAGCCTGGCAGGGAAATGTGAAGGAATTCAGCTCCCAAGCCCACGGCTGGCTCCAGGAGTGGCCAACAACCGTGGTGTGGTGGCCAGCAAAGCTCCACGTGCAGCTCCTTGCCCAGGCTCCTGCCAGAAACCTCCCCAGGCTAGACAATGAGCTGAGATTTTTCCCTAAAAATTCCTTCCCTCTGCTACCCAAGTGCTCATTTCCAGCAGCTGGTTGCCTCACATAAAAAAAAAACAAAAAACAAACCATTTCTTTACTGTCCCAGGAGCAACAAGGCTGATTTGGGACTTGCTGGCTTTGTGGAGGAGGAGGAGAACCACACAAAACAACCACTGCTCATTAAAAGAGGTGGATTCGTTCAGGTGACTGAAAATCTGGCACTTTGAGGAGCTGTCAGAGGTTCCTGAGTATAGGACAGAGGGTTCTGCATGGAAATTTGGCTCTTGGAGGTGTCTTCAGTTGTTTCTTCATGGTTTTATCTCTGTCCAGTCAGAAACTCTGCAGCTCCTTCAGAATTCAAGAAATATTGGGACAATGCTCTCAGGCACAGGGTGGGATTTCTGGCCTTGTCCTGGGCAGAGCCAGGAGCTGGACTCAATAATCCTTGTGGGTCCCTTCCACCTTGGGATATCCCATGATTTTTATCCTTATCCATCACTGCTAGAAATTTTTGACTTGCTTTTGACTAGCGAAGGAGCTCCAGTGCTTTGCAAAAAGTCGATTTACAACGGGATTACAACCTCCAGATCCATCTTTTATCTCAAGGAAAACATGTCCTTGGGGTAAAGGAGATGGGACATTTCTGCAGGAAGGGGCATTAAACAGCAGCAAAACTAAGAAATCTGACTCATTTTAATCCTTTTTTTTTTGTACTGTTTGTACTCACAGGCAGCATAAGCATTGTCCCTGGTGGTCCTGGCAATCCATCTGCTCCTGGGAGACCTGGGCGTCCAGGTGGGCCCTGAAAGAGGAAGAAATTAAAATAAACTTCTAAAATATCATTTTCGTTCTGTCTAACAGCTGTGGCTATGCCACGATATTGTCATGACAGGGATTGAGCTGGTGGCAATCCAAATTTTTCTTCAATTTTCTTAATTCCCTCCTCTCCCATCCTGCCCCTGCTATTTCCAGGGTCTGCCTCGTGCAGTTTTGGAGCAATCCAAGCCCCTGCCATGCTCCAAGTTAACAGAATCAATGTTTAGAGTTGGATCTCTTAAAACCTATTAAAAAACCCCAAAAATAGATGAAACTTCCTAACTCAGTGAGAGAGAAATGGAGGGAGAGAAATTCATTCCTGCATGCATTCAGTTGTGTAATTTTATTTTTCTCTCTTTTTTAAAAAATTATTTTAGTCCTTCGAGGTTCCATCCACCTCCAGTGGAGTGATCCTGTCAGGGGCTGTAAATCAGCCCAAATCCATGGATCTCCAGTGGAGAATCTTTAATTGGCACTAAAGCAATGAGTGGGCAGTCAAGGATCTATTGATGAGGCCATAAAGAATCAAAAATAGCCAATTTCCCTGGCAAAAACTTATGCAAATGAGGGTGACAGCAATGTGTGGGGCTAATTGCAATTTTCACAGCAGTTTATGGCAACAGGGATTTGACCTCATCCCAGCAAGGCCAAGAAAAGCCCCAGTGCTCCTTTTGTGGCCAGCAGGTCAGGATTGAGGACTTGGCTACTCCTTTAGTTAGGAAACATCAACAATAAATCAATTTATAGGGAGCTGACTCTCTTGGAAGGGCAAGCAATGAACATTTCTGTAGTTCTTGCTCTCCTCAACCTGCCTGCAGCCTGTTCAGACCCCAGGAAAAAATGTAAATACAAAATCCTGCCACAAATCTCAGGCATGGGGACACCAAGAAGCCAGGAAGTCACTCCACAAAGGAGGTGGATAAAGATGGGAAAGACAAATAGGCAACAAAGTGCCTAAAAACCAGAATATTTGACCAAAAACAACCCAACAGGCCACCAAAGCAAAGGATTTGGTGCTTTATCCTTGCCCCACACCCTTCCAGCAAGATCTGCCCACCCCACATCTCTCTACTCCCTCTTCTTCCATGTCCAACTTTGCAATTCCCTCATTCCCTCCCCTTAAAAAAAAAAAAAAAAAAAAAAAAAAAAAAAAAAAACAAAAACAAAACAAAACCAACCCCAAAGCACTCAGGCTGAAGTTTCCAGCAGAAATCAGAGCCCAGCCCTGGTGGGGGTGAGGAGCTGCCCAGCCTGGCCAGGGCTGTGGTGTCCCCAGCTGGGCTGGCCCTGTCCCCACCCCACAAGGAAAAGGCACCACGACCAGCCTGGAATAACAACTGTCCCCAGCTGGGCTGGCCCTGTCCCCATCCCACAAGGACAAGCCTGTCCCCATCCCACAAGGACAAGGCACCATGACCAGCCTGGAATAACAATGCTGCTCCCAGGGCTGGATCAGCAGAAAAATGGCACAAATAATTTAGGCCAGGCTTGTTTTATATGATAAACATTTTTTTCTCTCCCTCTCCTCCTATAACTCCAGCCCTGCCCATGATGGAGCAGGGCTGAGCTTGTTTATCTCTCCTGACAAGTGTTGATGCAGTGCTTTTATCCATAAATGCCTCTTTTTGTTTCAGGCTGGGTGTGGGAAGTCTTTTCCTGGTGGAATGGACCAGCAGAGGGTGGGGGGGTGGGCAACGAAACAGGAAAATCAAACCCATAAAGCACTTTGGAAATTTAAATTCATGAATGCCTGGAAGAAATGCAGCCTGCCAGGCTTTGAGTGTAAATCTGTGTGGCTCTCCTCATGGAAATGGGGATTTGCTGATATACAGCAGCCAGGGATGGATGGGGACTTCAACTTGCATTTTTTGCAGTGCTCTGAAATGCCAGGCTGAGAGCAAAGCCTGGGGTGACATTGCCATGGAATGGTTCAGCTGGAACCTGGGGGTGTTGGTGTGGGACCAGCAGCCCACGGTGCTGAGCCTCAACATTCACCAAGTGTCTCTCTCTCTCCCTGGTTATTTCTCAGCCCTGGTCAGAAAATGACATCATAGGAGATGTTTCTTGCAGTTTTGGGGGTCTCCTACTTAAGGGAGCAGCTGGAAAAAGCAGCACCCTGGAAGCACTCAGAAGCCAAATCAGGATTTTTGAGGATGCTGTTGCATTTCTGAGGGGCAGAGCTGTGCTCAGGGGAGTAATTCCCTTGGGATTCAATGACTGATGGTTTCGGAAGGTGAAGATATTTTGTGATGAGCCTTCCCCCGAGCTGTGCTTCCCCCCCAGAGCACCCAGACACCCGAATTTCCAAACAAACCCTGGGGCGGGTGAGGGAGCTGCAGTTTGCTCTAATGTTGCAGCTCACCCCCTTCAAAACAACACGTTTTCCCACTTCCTTCCTCCCAGCCTGGAGCCCCCATGGAACAGCTCTCTGCTCTCCTCAGTGCCATATTTCCTTCTTCCCACTGCTCCAGGAAAGCTGCCTAAGTCATCCCAAAGCATCCTGAGCCCTCTGGAACCTCCCACACCCAGGCTGCTCCTCAGCTCTGCTGCTGACACAAACTCCTCTGTGCCTCCTGATCGTGGAAAGATGCTTTAAATAAACAAAGCCCTTTCTTTTTTTTACAATGAATAAACCAGAACTAAATGAGTGTTGGCCAATATTAAGAGAGCTGACTATTGCTGGGCTATTAATTCATTGCACCTGCCTGACAGGAGATCAAAAAATCTCTTTATCAGATGCAGGCAGAGGGAATGCTCCTCACTGTACACAGGGAAGGGTCATGTAAATTCATGAGCTACACTCTCAGGGTTAATAATAAACAGATTAAAAGAGGAGCTGGTCTAATTGAAAAGGAGGGTTTTAATACAGTTGCAGCTCCTGCGAGTTCATCACTCTCTCTGCACCCTGTGCTGGGTTACACTCTGTTCTGGACACTGGCAGGAGCAGCCTGTGCTAGAATGCAAATCATTCCTCTCACTGGGGACACAGTGCTGCTGCTGCTGCTGCTTGGCTTTGCAGGGCTGTTCCAGAGGAGATTGGCCAGCAAATATCTGCATCTGCCTGGACAGGTGACAGAAGGAGTGTCCCTGTCCCCAGGGCCAGCATCCAGCCTGCCAGGAATGCAGGAGGAGAAGGGAGAGCTGGGCATCACACCATGGAGACAAGCAAGACAGGGATGAGGCCACAGGGAAAAACAGCACCCTGGAAATACTCAGAAGCCAAATGAGGATTTTTAGGGCTCGCCCTGGACCATGGAGAGATGCAAAGCACGCCCAGCTCACCCACCCTCTGTGAATCCAGCTGTAGAGCTCCCTGTGCTGGGCAGCAGTGCGGTGCCACAAGGGTTAAGCCAGGCCTAGGAGCCCCCAGGGCTGAGCCTGGATTGATTCTGTGCTGGCAGGCAGAGATCGATGGAGCACAGGCAGGGCTCCTCGTCCTCAATCATGTCCCAGGCACCAGAAATGCGATTTCTGCTCCATCAGTAAATACAGCAGCAGTGCAAAGCAGGGGAGGGTGTTCCCAGCGCTGCTCCAGGGGAAAAGGGACAGTGCAGCAGCCACAGGGCTCCAGCCAAGCCCCAGGGACCCAGGAGGCAACAAAGAACCTGACCTAAAACAAACACAGTGCCCAAGCTGGGGACAGTGCCATGGGAATGCCCCAGCAGCTCAGGAATCTGCCCTGCCCTGTATCCCACCAGGAACTCCTCTGGGAGCTGCTCTCACAGGATGAGAGGGATTTTAACAGGATTTTAACAGGATTTTAAGGCTCCAGGGATAGCCCACAGCCCCACTCTGCCCACACCAACCCACCCAAAGCTCCAGCAAAGAGGAGAAAACCACTCACCCTCTCCCCTGGGTCACCCATCAAGCCCACGGGTCCAGTTGGTCCTGGAGGTCCTGGAAGGCCCTGGCAGAGAAAAGGGGGGGAAAAAACCTAAGCCACGAAACTCTGTTATTATTTGTAGCAGATTTCTACAAGCAGCAGGAAAAGCTTTTGAGCTCTCTGTTTATTTTTGCACCACAAAATCCACCCCAAAGCTCTCTCCGTGCACGTGTGTGGCAGATGGGAGCAACAGAGCCCGGGGACAGCATCCCACCCCAGGAGCAGGGGGAAAATGCCACTTACTGCTGGGCCTTCGGGACCAGGGGGGCCTTCCACCAGCATTCCCTGAGCAAGAGGAAGGAAAAAAAAGGGATTAGACACATCCTCAAAGTCATTTTGTCCACAGGGAAATGCCCAGTGTGAGATCTGTTATTAAATATTTCAGCTCTTGCTGCTGCCTGAAGACATCCCAGAGCTGGAGGGTTTGCACTCCCTCTGGATGACTTCTCCCAGAAGTGCAGAGGATCATGGAAAAGCCAAATAATGTGTAATTAAATCCCACAGGCCAGCCCTTACTCCCAGCATCAGTCCCAGCACAGCACCACCTTCCCCAGCATCACCTTCCCCTTCTCCCTTTGCTGAGAGCCAGGGGAAAAGCAAATCCTGGACTTGATCCAGCCTTGATGGTCCTGGAGCTTGAGGAAAAAGCTGTTCCTAGCCCTAAAGAGCTCCACAAGAAGTTAGCAATCACGTTGCAAGGTGGTTTTTAAGTGATTTTCTTCCAGCAGACTGCACACTGTGATTTCCTCTGTGAACGTAGGAAATCACTGTGTGGGAAAAATTCTGGGATATTGTTACTCCAACCTCTTCAATCTAAATATTTTGTCATCACTGTAGATCACATCTATCATGCACTCAGGAAAATTAAGGTTTGGGGTTTTTTTTCCCTCATGAGTATGCAAGAATCAGGAAAGAAACCTCCCAATCCACCTGGAAAATGCTTTCCAGAAGGATCAGGGTAATGGTTTGGGAAGAGCTATGTTCCTTTTTTCTCTGGATCAGGGATAAAGCAGCTCAGGTGGAGTCAGCAATCCCCAGCTCACCTGTGGCTAACAGGGACATTTTTCCTAAGGGATGAACTCTTATAAAAATCTGTGGATGAGCAGTTGGCTCCATGCAGGAGCTGCTTTGGGGTCACCCTAAAATGTTCTCAGGCTCTGGTGCCAAAAGCCTCAGCTGACCCCACTCCAACCGAGCTGAACGAATCTGAAATGTCTGCAGGAAAATCCAGGCATTCCTTCCCCAAAAACCCACACTCCCTAAGCCCAGAGCAGCAAAAAATAACCTAAAGCAGCCTGCCGTGAGCCAGCCCTGCTTCCATCAGGGGTTCTGCACCAAAAATAAGCGTGGCCCATCACCCCAAGATGATGGATTTTGGATGGATCTCGAGATCCCAGCACATAGACACCCCAAAATCCCTCACAGCATACAGACACTCCAAAATGATGGATTTTGGATGGATCTTGAGATCCCAGCATATCAACAACCCAAAATGCATCCTCCTTGAGATCCCAGCACATGGACACCCCAAAATCCATCCTCCTTGAGATCCTAGCATATCAACAACCCAAAATCCATCCTCCTTGAGATCCCAGCATATGAACACCCCAAAACCCATCCTTGTTGACTTCTCAGCTTATGAACAACCCAAACCCCATCATTGTTGGGATTCCAGCATATGGACACCCCAAAATTCATCCTCCTTGAGATCCCAGCACATGGGCACCCCAAAACCCATCCTTTTTGGAGACCAGTCATGGCACATTCTGGTGTGATAGGTTCTAAAGCAGAAATTAATCAGAGTGCAGAGAATCCCAGCCCACACAGGAGGTTTTTGGGGTGCTGCTGTGAGCACACACAGCACCAAGGCTCTGCTCCCCAGGACACTCCTCCCCAGGGGGCAGGGTCAGGGATAATTGGCCCATTTGGGATGCAAACATCCTTGGCACCTTCCCATATTTATCTGCTGGTTTATGTCGAGCTGGGGCCTTGGGGACATCTGGAGATTCTCCTTGGCAGGAAACCTCCTGTGTTTCCATGGATTGTTCACCAATGGGAGCCATGGAAACGTGGCAGGGATTTAGGGACAGCACCAGTGGGGTGATCCCATTGAGGGGGACAAGCCAACCGTGGCTTTGGGATTGTCCCAGGGGAAAACAGGGCAAGGGTTCCACTTCAGACACCACCCACAAGTGAAGCCAACATCCCAAAGCCACCCTGAAATCCTGTTGCAATTCAGAGGTGCTGAGCAAACCCTCCCTAGAGGGGAGCACCGGGGTCCCCCCAGAAGGAAAGAGGGCTCTGAGGAGGTGCCAGCATCCTGATGACCCCGCAGCTGGGATATTTGGGATCCCTGCATCCCTCCTCTCCATCCCTCCTGCCCCTGCCCTGCCCCGCTGCCTCCAGCAAGTGTCAGCACAGAGCAAGGATTGAAGGACAGCTGGGTTTGAAAGGGAAGGAGTAAAAATCCAGCAGAATCCAACTTTGTGCTTGGGTTTTATTTCCCTTCTCCTGCAGCTCCCATCAAAAACTGGGGGAAAAAAAAAAAAGAGCTAAAAAGCGCAGCAAATCTGAATTTCCCCGCTCAAGAGGAGCTGCACGGAGAGGGACAAGGCAGCATTTGGTCTTGTTTACTTTCTGGCAAAAGCCATCCATGCTCCAGTGTTTTGAAATAGCAAAGGCGGCCAAATTCTTTCTGGATGATTAAACTTAACTATTTTGTTCGCTTTGTAGCTTTTCAGGCTGGGTTTCTGCCATCATCTTCGTGGGGTCTGGCTGCCCCCCTTCCCTTCCCACCCCTCTGATAAGGAAATTGCTGGCTCCTCCTTTTGTTTGCAGAGTGAGAGACCCAGAAAGGAGGAGAAGGAAGGAAAGGTCACAAATGTTTTACAAGGGACTCAATTGGAGTTTTTGAAGCCACGCTTCTGCACCCCGACTTCTGCCTGGTCAGTTGGAGTTTTTGAAGCCACGCTTCTGCACCCCGACTTCAAGGGGGAAAATCTCCCCTCCCCAGCACCTGCAGAAATTTCAGGTGAAAGAGGAAAAGGAGGAAAAATTAAAAGGGAAATAATGGCCTCAGGATGATGGGAAGTGCTGCTGCAGGGCTGGGTGCTGTGCTGGCCCTCTGCCAAGGAAAATGAGGTTAATTGAGCTGCTGAGGGTGTGCAGGCGGCAGGAGCTCAGCCCGTGGGGACCGGGCTGGGGCAGGTGGGTGTGAGGAGCTGATCCCCAATTCCAGCCTGGGAGGAGCAGGAATGGGGTACCTGGGCATCCTGGCACACAGAGAGGGGGGAAAAAATGGGAATTAACCAAGAGCCTCTTGCTCTGCTCACAGGAGCCCCTGAGCCAGCCCCACCACGAGGCTCCTTCCCCACCTCGGGGTGCTGGGCTGGGCACCCACAGCTTCTGCAGAGGGCACAGACAGCTTGGAATTGTTCTTCAGAAGGAAAATCAACCTCAAAATCAGGCCAGAAATACAAAGGAAGAGGGTTCCACAAAGGAAAAGCTGGTGGGACTGTGGAGCTGGTGCAGGAGCAAACCTCTCCACAGCTTTGTGCAGGGATTTATTTTATATCCCTTTTATTGTCACAGGGATAAAATTATTCCCATCGGTGGCCCAATTTAAGCCAGCCCCAAGCTGGGAGTTCAGGGCAGGACACGACTTGGATGCTCCCAAACTCCTGAGGGATGAGAGCTGCCCCCTGCCTAACACTTCAGCCCCAGGTTTTATTTTGCTAAATGAGAGATTTCATGGGAATTCTTGCACTTCCTTCACGATTTAGGTCACTCCTTGAAGCTCAAAAAAAAAAAAAAATTATATAATTACAGTGTTTTAGATTGAATGAACAGGGAATTCTTTCATGGGAAGTTTCCCTCCCAGCTGTCCCACTGAGAACAAATTCTCTGCACCTTTTTCCATGGGGGGAAAAAAAAACCAACAAAACCCCAAACTCAGGTGCTCCTTACCGGCTCAATGATGGCAGGTTCCCCCTTCTGCCCCTTCTCACCCCGGGGGCCACCGATCTGTGGGACACAGGGAAACACAAAGCCACAATGTCAGAGAGGACATTGCCATCATTTGGATGCTCCCAAACTCCTGAGGGATGAGAGCTGCCCCCTGCCTAACACTTCAGCCCCAGGTTTTATTTTGCTAAATGAGAGATTTCATGGGAATTCTTGCACTTCCTTCACGATTTAGGTCACTCCTTGAAGCTCAAAAAAAAAAAAAATTATATAATTACAGTGTTTTAGATTGAATGAACAGGGAATTCTTTCATGGGAAGTTTCCCTCCCAGCTGTCCCACTGAGAACAAATTCTCTGCACCTTTTTCCATGGGGGGAAAAAAAAACCAACAAAACCCCAAACTCAGGTGCTCCTTACCGGCTCAATGATGGCAGGTTCCCCCTTCTGCCCCTTCTCACCCCGGGGGCCACCGATCTGTGGGACACAGGGAAACACAAAGCCACACAGTCAGAGAGGACATTGCCACCATCACCATCATCACCAATCCCAGCAGGAACTGGAGATCCTGGCACAATCCTGCTGAGGTTCCTGCAGGAAAGACCCAGGGCAGCTCCTTGTTTAAATACAAGTTGCAGGTGGGTGAATCCTGTTTTTTTTTTTGCACTAATTCTGCTCTAAGTTATGGAAGGACCAACATTTTGAAGGAGAATGCTCCTGGGTGGAGCAGAAAACCTCTCACCCCTTCGTAGATGGTGTCCTGGTTGGCTGGCATGCCGGGGCCGATGTCGGGAGAGGCCGTCCGGTCGTAATAATTGTCATAATAATTCCCATCATATTCCTTTATGGTTTCCTCAGTGAAATCTTTATCCAGGTCATCCCCTCCTTGAGCAGCCTGGAGAGGAAAGAGCAGCAGTGGGTCAGGCTGGAGTTCTCTCCTAGCTGGACATGCTGGAATATTAATATGTTGTTGGAATTTTGTAAAATGAGGATGCTTTATAATAATAGTGACAAGGGGAAAAATCTGGGGAGAAGTTAAATTCTGGAATTTTTAAGTCTCCGGTGAGTTCTCCAACAGCAGGAAGACAGATGGGAGAAGCTTCATGTCAACTACACACTCTGGCTTTCCCCGGGATTTCTTCACTGATCCCCAGTAAAACACTGAGAGTAGAAAAGTTGGAGTGAGGAAAACACAACACAGCACAAAGCTCATGCCAGGAGGATCCTGCAAACTGCAAATGCCTGAAGAAAGAGGTAATGGAAGTTTCAAGCTCCAAATCCTCCTCATCCCTCACAGCCCTGGTGCTGGAGACCCTGGATTATCAAGGCCAAGGAGTCCCACATCCGTTCCCAGATTTCAGATGCACACCAAACCCACGACGTGTCACTGTCAGCGTCCAATTACAGCAGGAAATGTGGAAAAACCCAAGTTCACTTCTGTGAAAACCTCCTGTTTGTTTAGTCTGGGATCCAATCTGCTCCTGGGCTCATCCAAGGAGCAGAAGTTGTTACAAATCTGATGTCTCAATCCCTGAATCCTCTCAGAATCCTTTCAGATGCCACGGAGCACAGCAAGGACATCCAGACAAGGCTCAGAATTTCCTTGCTGCTCTCCATCTCCCTGTGCTCCCAGCAGCCTGGCAGGCACAGGCCTTTGGCACTCCTCTCTCTGAGCAGCCCTGCAAGGAACAACATGTGCTGCTGAGATTTATTTGGTTTCTTTCCTATCCAGGTAATGACCAAAATAGTCCAGAAATTGAATTTTTTCCAGTGCTTCCTAGAGAAATAGCTCCTCACTACTACAAATTCAAAGTCACTTCAGTGTCATCACAACTTCCAGACTTCTTTCTATGCCAAAACTCCTCAGAACTCGTAAACATGAACATCTGGGTCTAAACTCAGGAGGTTTTAAACTAAGATTAAGCCTAGGACTAAGGTAATCACCACCCCACCTTCTCTTACCTCTGCAAACACCAACTGGCCTTGGCAGAAATTATAGTTTGGCAATTATTTCATTAGAAAACTTGGAAAAGTCAGGATTATTTTTCCTTTGGGCTGGTTCAAATGGATCTGTTACTACCACACTCCCCCTTTTATCCTGGCTGAAATACTTCACCTGGTTTGGCACTTTGAAACCTTAAAGCCCTAATCTAAAAAAATCTCATCTGCCTCTAAGGGTTTGAGGATAACAGCAAATTGCATTAAATGAATATCAAAAATGTCTGGTTTGATATTTTAATTGAGGTCCTCAGGTCTATTTGCATGGAAAGATGATATTTGGAGTAAGTGTGCAGTTCCCTGCCTGAGCTTTCCTTCTCTATTTCCTTTCCTTAACAACTAAAGTGGCCCTTGAAGCCTCTTCCTTCTTCTTCCACTTTTTTATTTAAGGCCTCTCTATCGAATCTTTAATTTCTCTCTCTTAGAAAATCCAAGCTTGGCCAAAGATTTCTGGCTCTTGGTCAGGAAATGGAAAACTTTCCCATCCATGGGTTCCCTCACGTTGTCTCCCTCAATTCCTGGAGCCTTTTCCTTTTCTCCCTGTGCATCATTTTGGGCTCTCCAACCTCCTCCACCCCATTTTGGCTGGACTGGATCTCCCCCTGCCCTCGGATCTGCACCTGCCTCACTCCAGCTGCTCAGATCTTTGCTTGGACACTTTCCCTGACACCTTTTCCCTCAAATTTCCATCTCCAGGGATCCTGGCCAGCTTCTGCCTTGAATTGTGACAGCCCCACAACAAGTAATTCTCCACTGGAGAAAGCACCCCTAAGCTCTTCCTGGGAATGAGGATGGGATTTGGAAGCATTGCAGAAACATGGAATGCTGTGGGCTGGAAGGACTTTAAAGCTCATCCAGTTTCAAAGCCTTGCCATGGGCAGGGACATCTTCCACTAGAGCAGGTGGCTCAGAGAACAATTCCATGTTATCCCACAATTCCCTTGCTGCTGCCCCTGGATAATGAAGAATTTGCCCATTTTTCCATTTTCCCCATTTTTTTGTCATTATTTCCTTGCTCCATGTCCTCCACAACACCCAGCTCCCCAAAAATTCATCTCAGTCTCACCAACATTCATTATGCTATTTCAGCATCAACATAAAAAGCAAGAGCTGGGCAAGTTTTAAGAACAGGAGAGTCTTGAGTGCAGCATTTCAGCTGGAGGGTATTGAAGTGCAGGGAGGTAAAAGTTCAATATTCCAGCAGAAAAAGCTGTGGGGTCTGGGCTGATCCCAGCTCTGAGCAGATCCATGCACAGAATAAAGGAGTTCACACCAGGTGGATGCAGCAGTTTTGGAATCAAGGCTTTGTCCCCGTGTTGAAATGTGGTTTTTTTTTTTTTTTTTTTTAAAAACAACAAAATGAAAAACATATTTTTTTTTTTTTTAAAAACAACAAAATGAAAAACATGAAAATGCTTTTCAGTGGAAATGGCAAAATGAAAAATATTGATGTTCTCCAGCAAATCAACATTTTAAGGATTTATATTAATAACTTTGGGATAAAAGGCTTTTACTGAGATTTTAACAGCAACCCTCATTTCTCTTTTTGTCAGACAACCACTTCACCCGAGGAAATGCAGATGTCAATATGAGCAGCTTTTTCCAGGGGAATAATCCTTATACCAAATTCTAAATATCTGCGTTCCCCACCCTGAAAAATCTGGAGTGAAAACATTTTCCAAGAAATTTCTTCTCCCTGCAGCTGCCTGAACCACTTATGGATTTACCATCTGGCTGCTCCCATCTCCTTTACTCCCAGGGCTATGAAACAGCAGAATTAATTAAAAAAAAAATTAAAATTAATGAATTAAAATTACATCAGTCTCATTGTAGGTGACGACAGTGCTTGTGGGGAGTTCAGCTTCCACTGCATTTTCAGTGAGGCCACCCTGGGGATCGATTTCCTCGTTGTAGTTGATATCTTCATAGGGCATGGGGGTAAAATACTCCTCATTGATGGTCTCGTAGTTGTACTCATCAACCAGGGGATCATCCACTGCTCCGTCCTCCTTGGGCTGCTTCCCGGGGTTCCCTCTCTCAGGGGGTGCTGTGGGAGCTGCATAATCCTGTCACACGTGGGAAATAAAACGCCACCATCAGAGGAACAAAATCATTCTGTGTCATCCTGCCCTTTTACAAAGGTTCAGCACCTACACCCCTGCCAGGACCCGCCTCGGTACCTCCTTGGTTTCGGGTTTCTCTCCAGCAGCCACCTCAGGAGGGCCGGGTTTGGTGGTGGGGGTTTCTGGTTTGACAGCTTCATCCACGTCCTCGTAGTAGGGGTACTCGTAGTAGTAAGTGTCACCTTCTCCCTCCCCGTCCGTGTACTGCAAGGAGAGGAGGAGAAGCGGGAAATGAGAGGGAAGCACCCAGCGCGTCCCTGCCAGCTCCTTTGGACATCACAGCTCCACACTGCAAGTTTAGATGGGATATTTGGGAGAAATTCCTCCCTGGGAAGGTGGGGAACCCTTGGAATGGATCACCTAGGGCTGCTGGGGCTGCTCCATGCCTGGAGGTGTCCAAGGCCAGGTTGGATGTGGAGCAACCTGGGATCGCGGAATGCGACCCTGCCCTGGCAAGGGCTGGAATCTGATAAACTTTAAGATCCCTCCAACCCAAACCAGTGACTCTATGATATTTTTATAACCTTGGATTGCTGAAACCTCCCAGACCTGCCACACCTGGCCCCCCAAGAGAGGGGCAGAAAGCCCTCGAGCCCCACGGCCACTCCGGTGCCGTTCCTGCGCTAACAGCATCCCTGTGGCTGCCCAGCCACCCCAGGCCTGCAGGCTGCAGGCCTTGGAGAAGCAGATCCTTGCAACCTTTCCCACGAGGCGTCAGTCATCCTTCAGCAAGAAACCCAAACAAAGCATCCAAGTCTTCAGCAAGAAACCCAAACAAAGGCTGGTTCCAGGCGGGCACGGCCCCGCTCCTCGCCAGCCCAGCTCTCCCTGGCAGCGGCCGCCGGAGCGTGGAGGAGTTATTCCTACATGGAGCAACACAGCCTCGGGACAAGCCAGCTCTTGTTGGACTGCTGGCTCCAAAAGAGGAGTTTTATTTTCCTGCTGCCACAGATTTCCACCAAAGTGCTGTTTTATTTGTCTTATTTATTGTTTCTCCAGAAGCGCTGGCGGAGCGGCCGCGGTGCTTCCCTGGGGCTGAGCCTCACCGTGAGCATCCCAAAGCCCCGCTTAGGTGCTGGATTAATTTAATCCCAAAGATAAACTGGCAGGGCTGATGGCATTACTGGTTCATGGGGATTCCCTGACCCTGCAGGTCTGGGCTCAGCTGAAAGCAAATCAGCCCAAGAAAGTGGCTCAGGGTGCCAGACAGTAACTGCAGTGAGCTGAGACCTCTTAAAAAGGGCAAAATTCAGGTGATGCTCATTAAATTCAGCCACACCCAGACATTTCTGATTGGGCAACAAACATATGAATGCCTCCTGCATCAGCCTTTTTTATTGTGTTTCCTTTCTTTAAGGAAAATGCCTGGGGTGAACCCTTCATACAAAAATTATTGGGCACAGCAGCTCCTAGGGATGACTTGGGTATATTTCTGCCAAAATGAGATTCAAAGCAAATCCAGGGAAGAAACAGTTCTCCCTCCTTTAACACCTGTTGTTTCACAGAATATTGAGAAAGAACTGTTTAATCCTTTTACAAGTCCAACAGCATAACTGGAAATTTAGAAACAGGTGCTGGTCTGGACAGCAGTGGAGCTGCCAGGGAAGATCAATAATCCACACTTGGCTCATGTTGTCTCTCCTGTGTTTCTGAGCTCCAAGAGGATGTTCCTTTCCGTCTCTGGAAATGGAAGGAGCTCAGAAAGAAGGGAAACTCCCAAGAGCCAAACCCAGAACCTGCAAATCCTAAAAGCAATCTCTGTCTTGGACGTTGGAGAGGAGTCGCGGGGAAGTTGAGCGGGAGGAAGGAGCCACGTGTTTGCAAGGGTGAAACAAACACAAATATTGGTGATTACACCCCAAACCATCCCCAGAGACTCACGTATTCATCCTGGTTGGGGTCCTGGGACTGGGGGGAGTCGGGGATGGCAGTGTCACAGTCGGGGCTGTAGTGCTCACAGTACTCCAGGGCTGCCCGCGGGTCCGCCACGATCAGGAGCTGCTGGATGTCACCCTGCAGGGAGGGGAGCACAGAGGGTCAGGGATGGGTGGTGCTCGTGGAGACACCAGCCTGAGGCTGCAAACAAAGCCAGAAACACAAAGAAATGGAAAGCAAAACGCGTGCCAGGGCCACCTTCCTGAGACGGGCACGTCTCCTGAGATGAGGCAGGGGAAAAGCTCCATGTCCAGGGAGCAGCTGCTTCTCCTGGGCTGCTCCCTGAGGTGTGAACCCACTGTGCTTCATCCCCAGCCCCCAGTCCACCTCCCCAAAAGACAAATCGCTCAGTACAACACCCAGGGCACCCCCAAGCAAGGAAAGTGCAGGAAAAATAAAAACAAAAGGGCTTTGTACCCCCCAAATCAGCGATACAACAACTCCTTTACAGCTGGTCCTGTGCAGGGCTGCAGAGTCACCCTGGCCAGTCCCAAAAGCTGCTTATTGGCCTCAAAACTTCTCTGCTTCTCCCACCCCACCAGCTGGTCTCACATCACCCCCTTTTTTTTGCATCTTGCCTCACTTCCACGTTCCACCCGCAACAGACACAGCGAGAGATTAGAAATGCATCTGATAAACCCAGAAAAGAGCCAAAGGGAGGCTTTTTTATACTAAAAACCAGGTGCAGAGGAACCTGCTCATTAGGCACCAGGGCTGGTTAATGGAGCAGCTGCTCCCTGAAGCCCGACACAGCCACAGCCAGAAGGTCAGAGCAGAAATTGCTCTTGAGTTTCCTAAAGAGCCACCACGCTGCTCAACCACGATGCCAAAATCCAGTTCATTCAGCAGACAGTTACATAAGACTTTACTACTTGGATGCTTAGAGCTGATACTTTAATTAGGAGAGGGGAAAAAAAATCTTATTTAATAATAGACAAACATGGCTAAAGCATCAGGGGGAAAAGCAGGAGTGTTACAGCAAAACTGGGAGGATGATTTGGGCAGTAATAGGAACCAGAAGCTCCAAAGGGAGCCTGGCCAGACTGGCAAACAGCCCTGTGGAAAAGGATATTTTTGAAATTTTGGGCCAAATCTGCCTTGGTGTCGCTGGATCGTGGTTGTGTCCCACTGACTTCCCCCCAAAAAAGGGAATGCTTTCACATTTTGGGCAGAGATCCACTGGGGAAGGAGCAGTTCAGAGCTGCCTGGAGCTCCCTCCTGCATTCCCAGGTTGTCACTTCCCTCCCTGCAGCAGCTCATGAACATCTGGGCACCTCTCAGACCTACCCGAGTCACCCTTCAAAGAGCATTCATTGAAGCTCATTAGTCATTGTTTCCAGTGAATAACCTTTACAAAATTAACAGAAATGTCTGCAAAGTGGGTTTCAATTTTCCATTTTTAAAACAAGAAACATCTTTCCTTCCCTTTCCCTTTTTTTTTTTTTTTTTTTTTTTTGTTGTTAATATAAATCCAGTCCTGCCATTACTATTCCAGCTTTTTCTTTTGCAATGTAACCACCAAAACTGGGCTTAGAGTATTGAGAAAACAAAAAATTCCAAGTTTTTTGCCTTGTAGAATATTTCCTTTTTCCAAGCAGCTCTGGCCACCACTTGCCCATGGGATCCACAGGGGAGCTGGCCATGGTGGGACCTCCAGCCCTGAGCTGGGGGTCCTGGGGGTGTTATGGGGTTACTCAGACCATAAATTATAAAAGCATCCCTGTCTCCAGAGCTCCAGACCCGTTCCTTTGGAATTCCCTCCAGGAGGGAATACCCAACCTGGCCAAGGAAATCTGTGGCTGATGTGAAAACCCTTCCAGCTGCTATTTCTGCCCCCAGGACCTCAGTCAGCCCTCCCTGACACCTCAACTAAGCCACTTGGGCCCTTCTCTCCCTCAGGTGCTTAAAGCTCCCAGTTTTCCATGGGAAGAAGGCAAGTGCCTGGCATTGTTGGGATAAGCTGAAATAAACCAGCCCCAAAGCAGACCTGGGACTTGTCTCCAAGAGGCAGGGGAGGCTGAAAATGCTTTTTCTCCCTGATAAGGTTGGATTTACACCTCATGGAGAGCTGATAGGCTGCATCCCATAAGTGAGCAGGGCTGGAACTGCGTTTCCTCAAGGAACAGATAAAGCAAGGAAAGGCATCTTGGCTAAACACAGTGCCAAAGGTTAAGCAGAAGAGAATTTGCTAAAGCTGGGTTTGTTTTTAGTCTCAGCTGATGGCAGCTCCTGAGCTATGCATGGGCAAAAAACCTTGATCCCACCCTGCTTCCCTGCAGGAGCTTGGGCATCCTCAGCCTTGGAGAATATGGAAAAAAAACCACCTGCAAATCCCTGCAGGCACAGCAGAAAACTGAACCTCAACACACCAAAGGACAGCGTGGGGCCCACAGTTTGTGCTGGGTAAGAGGGGGAGGCTGAGCAGGGGAAGCTTCCTGCTCATTCTGGGTCAGGAACTTGGGGAAATCAGTGCGTAACTGAATAAATCTGGGACGTGGGGAGCGCCAGGAAAAAGCATCAGACGGCTCCGTCAGAGCTCACCACGCTTCACCAGCATCGCTCCACAGGCTGCTGCTTCCCCTCTCCTTTTCAAACCCACTCAATCACCCTGCCCAGAGCTCATCCTTGGCTTGTTGCAGCCTGCAAAATCCAGGAGAACCAAGGCTGAACCAATGCAAAATGCAGGAGAACCAAGGTTGAACTAATACAAAATCGAGGAGAACCAAGGCTGAACCAAAGCAAAATCCAGAAGAACCAAGGCTGAACTAATGCAAAATCCAGGAGAACCAAGGTTGAACCAATGCAAAATGCAGGAGAACCAAGGCTGAACCAAAGCAAAATCCAGAAGAACCAAGGCTGAACCAAAGCAAAATCCATAACAGCCAAGGCTGAACCAATGCAAAATGCAGGAGAACCAAGGCTGAACCAAAGCAAAATCCAGAACAGCCAAGACTGAACCAAAGCAAAATGCAGGAGAACCAAGGCTGAACCAAAGCAAAATCCATAACAGCCAAGGCTGAACTAACGCAAAATGCAGGAGAACCAAGGCTGGACCAATGCAAAATGCAGGACAACCAAGGCTGAAACCATGCAAAATCCACTAGAACCGAATTTGGGACAACTGAGAGCCCCAGGGAGCACGCAAGGCCCAGCACAGAGGCTGAGCAACTCCGGGGAGGGGGAAGGAGGAGAGCTCAGCCCATTCATCTTTGTTTCATTCCCAGCAAGCACCCAGCGCTGGGGGATACCCCGTGCTAACACTTGTAAAAAGCAGCCAGGAGTAAAAACCTTGTTAGCAAGATTCCCAGTCAATTGACCTCATCCCTCGGCAGCAAACAATAAAAGGGGCTAATTTAGGCTGCAATAAAAAGCCCCACTATCTGCACCTCACAAAAGCTGCACAAAGCTCTGCTGTCAAGAGCCCCATTTCTGGGATTTAAAAAGCCAACTTTCAATAGAGCCAGGCGCGCTGGGAGGTTCGGGAGCCTTTTGTGTCCTCTCGAGTGTGCTGCTGCTAATAAATTGTGCCCAGGGATCCAGGGATCCTGCCTGGCAAAGGGGAGCCAGCCCTGCTCCCATTCCTCCCTCAAGCGTCCGTTTGTTTCCCTGTTTTGGTCACAAACCACCCCAAAATCTCCTTCCCAGCTGGATTTTTGCAGCGCTAACGAAGATCCCGTTAATCCACACGCACGGCTCTGCGTGGGACAGGGTTTTCCAAGAGAGACAGCTGAAAAATGCACCAAGAAAGTGGTTTAAAGGCCTGACTGGCCAAATCAAAGACTTGTTTTCAAGTAATGAGTTATTTCAGGCGGGGAGCAAGACGGAAACACTCTGGTGTTGCTTTGTGGAAGTCACCAGCAGCGTCCTCCAGCCACCCACACAGTGGGTAAAGTTCTTTTTTGGCCTGGTAATGAGTTGGGCAGAAGGCTCAAGGAAGTTCTCCAGTGACTGGAGCACTTGGTAGCATCCAGAGGCAGAGCTCCGTTGTGTTTTGCTGGTTTAACAAAAAAAAAAAAAAAAAAATTGAAGTAGAGAATAAAAAAAATCAATTTTTTGCCTGCAAATAACCATAATTTTACAGATTAGGAGAGGCAGTGTTTAAAAAAGTGGGATAAATCACACTTTGGCCTTTATTCCTAAAACTTCTGGTGAAGAGGAAGAGGCAGGACAGCACATTTGTGAACAGGACTGTGAGTTGTGAGGGTTTCATTTGCTCCACCAGACAGATGGAAGTGCTAACTGTCAGGACCAGTAAGGATCTGCCTGACATTTATGGTAAAGCCATTTATGCCTGATGACTCATTTGCTTTATGGATTAAGTTCCATCAAAGCCAGTTTAACTCACCTCCCCAGCCAGCTCCCAGACAAGGCTGGAAAAGCTCTTTCTGGAGCATTTTTTAACACTTATTCTATATGCGTGCAAAAAATGTCACATCACTTCCAATGACATCAACTTCAGGAACTCGCAGGAATCGTTGTGGTTCAATAAAAATAAAAATAATAAGAAAAAAAAGCTGGAGAGGAGGATCAGAGTGACTTCATCTGGCACTGGCAGCAGCTCCCTGAATCCTGGCATTCTTCAGGGCTCCCACTGATCATTAACAGGACTCTGGTTAGGGCATCACCCCAAAAGTCTGAGAGTCAGCATCCCTAAGAGAAAATCCTGCTGGATTTTGGAAACTCCTGTGTTTCAACTGGATGAACACAGGCCCAGAGTGAACAGTGATAATGTAAAATCTTCCCAGTTATTGGGAATCACTGAGATTTATCCTGACAAACTCCCTGGCTTCATATCCCCAAACCCAGACAGGGGCTGGAGAGGGGCAGGAGTTCAGTGCAGCTCCAGGATGAAGAGGAAGCTCAGCCTCCAAAACCCCTAATCCCTGTCTTGGAGCCAGCCTGGCAGCCCTCAGATGTTCCACTTGATAAATCCTGTCACCAGCACTTCCCATGGATTCTCACAGCCCAGCTCCAGCCTGGAGTGGAAGTGGTGTTGGGGACATCAGCAAAGGCCCAGGAATCACCACAGTTCTGCCACAAGGAAACCCCAAAAATGAGAGGTGCTGGAGGTGCTCAGA